ATTGCTCAGTAAGTGTACAAAATATGCAATGTTAATAAGATTAACAACCGCTGACTGATTTAACACACTTGAATGACATTATCAATACTTAAAACTGGTTAAAATATGGGATTAAAACTGATTGAAGCCATACGAGATGGCTATGAGCAAAGGTAAAAGACTACAAAAGGTACCAGGCGTGTTTCATCCTGTGTCTAAAATAGAGAATTGTCTAATCCTGGCTGCTTCGGAAAGAAACTTGGCAACAGCCAGGGTCACGTGGGGAAGATCATCACCAAGTAAAAACGTCACTGGAATCACCGGTAAATTTCTCAGTAGGAGATTAATGATGTGTGTGCAAGCTTGTTCATAAAATTTGCACGATAGTAGAATATGATAGATGCATTCTACTTCCTGTTTGTTAGTTCCTGTTATAAGAGCCCCCGGTGGCGCAATGGGTTAAACCCTTGTGCCATCAGGACCGCTGATTGACAGGTCAGCGGTTCAAATCCGGGGAGACCAGGTTGAGCTCCCTCTGTCAGCTCCAGCTCCTCATGCAGGGACCTGAGACAAGCCTCCCACAAGGATGGTACAAGACATCAAACATCTGGATGTCCCCTGGGCAACGTGCTTGCAGACGGCCAATTCTCTCACACCAGAAGCAACTTGCAGATTCTCAAGTCGCTCCTGGCATGAAAAAAAAATGGATAGTCTTTCATTATATGGGATCCTTGCAAATCTCCCGCGCAGCAGTTCAAATGGGAACACATAACTCCCAGCCAGTTTACCAGCTGTCAGGATTTCCAGGAGTTGAAGGCCAAAACATCTGGGGACGCACAGGTTGAGAACCACGGCATTACACATTGCCTTGGAAAATAGGCAATGGTACTTGGCCATAGTCATGTTCTGTAGATGATTTACTGCATTGGAAAGCCCAACATAATGTATGGACAGGGCACTTGGGGAGCAAGATACATGTGAATGAGAGTGCAGCTCACAAAAGCAATATCCCAAAGTCTCTGCTGGAATGTATCCAGAGGAAAGCAACTAAAATGATCAAGGGTCTGGAGAACAAGACCTATGAGGAGCGGCTTAAAGAGCTGGGCATGTTTCGCCTGAAGAAGAGAAGGCTGAGAAAAGACACGATAGCAATATATAAATATGTGAGGGGAAGTCATAGGGAGGAGGGAGCAAGCTTGTTTTCTGCTGCCCTGGAGACTAGGATGCTGAACAATGGCTTCAAACTACAAGAGAGGAGATTCCATCTGAACATTAGGAAGAACTTCTTGACTGTGAGAGCCGTTTGGCAGTGGAACTCTCTGCCCTGGAAAGTGGTGGAAACTCCTTCTTTGGAGGCTTTTAAACAGAGGCTGGATGGTGATCTGTCAGGGGTGCCTTGAATGCAATTTTCCTGTTTCTTGGCAGGGGTTTGGACTGGATGGTCCATGAGGTCTCTTTATGATTCTATGATCAATTTGAGAGCCACGTCGAAACCCAGGTGAGTTCGGAAGGATACAGAAAGGCTGATGGAGGAAGCTTTCTTAGAGTTGCTCTTACACCAGCTCCTTGGGTACTCATCCTGTGCTAAGTGGTGAATTAGACCGGATCCTAGACTGAAAACTCTGATATTTAAGTGTCCACCACCAGGCTCTAATTGAAAAACGTGGTTCCCCGGATTCAAGTTGCAAGACAAAGGATGGTACACATCTGGGGAAAAGGAAGAGGGCCTTCAAAACTTATGCTGTTGGTCTATTTTTGATGTTCAACCATCAATCCAGATGCTCAAAGCATACAGCAGCTGGAAAGCTATCTTAGCATTAAAAACTTTAGTAGCAGAAGGTATGAACTGCAACAGAGTCATCCTTTTTGGAAAAGAGTTTTCAAAATAATGACCCATTTTCAAGACGTTCAGCTTCAGTTCTAATATAAGGAGAAAACCTCACCTCCTTCATGCACAATCTGGCACTACCAATCCTCTGTCTGTAGACTAGTTGCGAATGCTGTCTGATAGACTTGTCAAAAGAGAAGTAATACATGGGAAAAGCAACTGAGTTCAGTTTTCTCAACTTATGACATGTTCTTACAAAACCTATTTTCCACCTGCATTTCCCAGAAGCACAAGAAGCTTGCTGCTAACTGATCTCATATTATTCTCAGAATAGCAGAAATACGGTTTCTGAAGAGGTGGGACAGTAGGAATGTGGGACAGCCATACCAGAAATGCATAGATTTCCTGGACTTACAGAGAGTGAAAAAGCAGTTATGTCTGTTCAAGCATTACACCGCAAGGACTCAACCTGGTATGAGTCTTAAGTATTACTTCACACAAACAGATTCAGTGCTGAAACAGTTCCTGGATGGCAAGTGAGGTTATAGAATGGTTGAATGAGTCTCCATATTTTAAACCAAAAACTACCCTACATATAGAATACTAGCCGTCCCCTGCCACGTGTTGCTGTGGCTCAGTCTGGTGATCTGGAAAATAAAGTAACGAGGAAGTGTTGGTTTCTAATATATGTAATTTCTTTATGCTTGTGGGTAAACAGTATTTCTTCTTGTTTCTTTGTCAGTGGAGATTGTCTGGGTTGTCTGGAACATGCAACATATCACTGTCCTTGTTTAGGGGTCCCTTTCAAATCTATGATACTGAATCTGTCCTATACATACATATGTGTGTGTGTGAATCATATCTATCTATATCCATGGCTGGATGGCTCTTCGTCAGGAGGGCTTTGGTTATGTTTTCTTGCGTTTGTGAAGGGAGTTGGGCTGGATGGCTTTAAGGCAGCATTTCTCAACCTGGGGGTCGGGACCCCTGCAGAGGTCATAAAGGGGTGTCAGACATGGACATACTGATGCAAAGAATCTCACACAACTATACAAAACCTCAAATAACCATCTGGAAAGCAGTTCTGGACTTTACTATATATATATTACTAGCGTTCCCCTGCCACACGTTGCTGTGGCCCAGTCTGGTAATCTGGAAAATAAAGTAATGAGAAAGTGTTGGCCTCTAATATATGTAATGTCTTTCTGCTTGTGGGTAAACAGTATTTCTTGCTGTTTCTTTGCCAGTGTTGATGTGGAGATTGTCTGGTTTGCCTACTCTGGAACGTGCAACACATAATTGTCCTTCTTTATGGGTCCCTTTCAAATCTTTGATAATGCATCTGTCATATACATATGTGTGTGTGTGTGAATGGCTGGATGGCCCTTTGTCAGGAGAGCTTTGATTATGTTTTCTTGCCCTGGTGAAGGGAGTTGAACTGGATGGTCTTAAGGCAGCATTTCTCAACCTGGGAAGTCAAGACCCGGGGGGGGGGGGGTGTTGGTCACCAGGGGTTGTTAGAAGGGTCACCAAAGACCACCAGAAAACACAGTATTTTCTGTTGGTCATGGGGGTTCTGTGTGGGATGTTTGGCCCAATTCCATCGTTGGTGGGGTTCAGAATGCTCTTTGATTGTAAGAGACATATACATCCTAGTAACTACAACTCCCAAATGTCAAGGTCTATTTTCCCCAAACTCCATCTGTGTTTACATTTGGCCATATTGAGTATTCCTGTCAAGTTTGGCCAGATCCATCATTGTTTGAGATCTATCATTGTTAGTGCTCTCTAGATGTAGGCGAACTACAACTCCAAAACTCAAGGTCAATGCCCACCAAAACCTTCTAGTGTTTTCTGTTGGTCAGGGGAGTCCTGTGTGCCAAGTTTGGTCCAATTCCATCGTTGGTGAAGTTCAGAATGCTCTTTGACTATAGGTGAACTATAAATCCCAGCAACTACAATTCCTGTGCTGTCGCACGCTGGGCCTGTGCATAAGACTGTAGACAGGACATAAATTCTGTGTGCCCAACAGGACGCCAGGGCTGCCTCAGATTAAAGGACTTTGGATTTCCTTAAAACACAGTCTCTAGAATGCTTAAAGGTTCAACAAATTTATTAGTGAAAACAAACAGGTATTTCAAGGCTTTCTTAACAGTCTCAATCTTGTCCACAGGAAACAGGCACTATCTTCATAACTGTAACTAATGGGGAGATCCTTAACTTCTAATCTGGGCAGTCTGTCTTTGTCTCTGATGGCATGGAGCCCCTACACCCGGTACCAACTGCTTCCGGCTTCCGCGAGTGACCCTTACCAAGCAGAGCTTTGTAGACTACCAGGGGAAAAGGAGTTCAGGTTTCAGTGATGGTTGACTGAAGTCCCTCCGCAAAGGAGCTGTAAGGCTGTATAACCCCAGCCAAGCTGTAGATGAAGATGAAGCTTTCTACAGGAGCTCTTGGTATCTCTGTGTGGACTGACCCAAAAAGGCTCCTATTCCCTCCAAAAACCCAAAAAGGGGGCAGGACCAGGGAACCTAACTATAGTTGACAGCTGGCTTGCCCTATGAAACCCAGGACTACAACAAACATTCAATGCAAAGCAAACAAAATAGGAGCTCCTGGTACAGTTGTACCTGCACAATTCCCAAATGACAAAATCATAATTTTTTGAGTGATGGCCACTCCTTGTGTTGTGAGACYTTTTGTTGCCAAATTTGGTGTGATTTCGTTAATTGGTTCTTTTGTTTTTAAGGTAKTCATTATGCACAGAGCAATTATATATATATAGATGGATGGARTTGTAACTGAAATCCAAGGAAAGTATAAACAAGAWGATAATAATAGAACAAAGCYAAATMAAAAATCTYTCTGTGCGGAAACGCATATGTTATAATAGATAAAGATGCACAAATARYTYTATACATTTATATAAGCACAAGCATGTATAAAATATAATTGATTGAGACACCCTGGGTAATCCTGGAAGTACCCCACCTTACCTATCCCCATTCCACTATATTCCCCTCCCCTTTACATGCTGCCCTTACCCTCCCCCCCCACCACCACCCTCCCACTCCCCTTTCTACCTTACTACCTATGTACGTATCCCTTTTTATTGTAAACGTGAAACAATCAATAAAAATATATGGAAAAAAAAGAAAGTACAAGTGAGCCACAAACATCTGGACCTACTTACTTTGCTCTTCTTACTGCTAGACATTTTGTTCTTGAGGTAGCTGAATGTGCGGCTAACTTTCGTCCCGCTTTTGCCTTCCAAGTCTTTTCTGGAGGGGCTGGGAGGCAGGAAATTGCCACTCTCCTCAGAGATGCTAGAAGCCAAGAGACACACAACATGTCAGAAAATACACAGACACTATTTCTCTTGGAGGACAGATCTTGAACCAACTCCAAGAAGGACTGGGACTTGTTCATTAGCTTTTCACAACAACGATGGGGGCATTTGTGGGTTGGTAGAGTGTTACCAAAAGTAGAAGTGTGACTATAGAGCAGGCATGGGCAAACTTTGGCCCTCCAGGTGTTTTGGACTTCAACTCCCACAATTCCTAACAGCCGATAGGCTGTTAGGAATTGTGGGAGTTGTAGTCCAAAACACCTGGAGGGCCAAAGTTTGCCCATGCCTGCTCTATAATATCATTTAAAGGAAGTAGACTAATAAGGAACAAAAACCATCAGATAAAGAAGGATTTGCAAATCTGAATACATTTGGGGGAAAAATCCTTATGATAGGGTAGCCATAAGTCACAGTTGATTCAGAGGCACATAAAGCAGCTTAGATAGCTACACTGCCCTCTTCCGTTTCAAATTATTCATAGCTCCCTAGAACATGAGCAAGAAAATGTAAGTGTATTTTTAGTTGGGTTGCTGTGAGTTTTCCAGGCTATATGGACATGTTCCAGAAGCATTCTCTCCTGACATTTCTCCCACATCTATGGCAGAGGTTGTTATTAAACCCCACTTGCCTGTTGGAAATTAGGCAAGTGGGGTTTAATATATCTGACTGATGTCCACGATGGGAGAAAGAACTCTTGTCTGCTGGAGGCAAGTGTGAATGTTGCAATTGGCCATCTTGATTAGGATTAAAGTCTGACTGCTTCCCGCCTGGGGGATCCTTTGTTGGGAGGTGTAAGCTGGCAGAATATAAGCCGAGGCACCTAATTTTACCACAAAATACTGGGAGAACGTATTGACTCGAGTATAAGCCGAAGATGGGAAATACAACAGCTTCTGGTAAATTTCAAAATAAAAATAGATACCAATACAATTAAATTAATTGAGGCATCAGTAGCTTAAATGTTTTTGAATATTTACCTAAAATTGTAATTTAAGATAAGAGTGTCCAACTCTGACTAAACCATGTAAATGTGCTTATGTATCCTCCCAATAATAATAGAGTAGAATAATAAATGTAAAGTAATAACAGTAATAATAGAGGAAAATAATAGTTGTAATAACAATAATAAATGGAGTAAAATAACAAATATAATAATAATAAATAGAGTAAAATAATAAATGTAATAATAATAATAATAGAGTAAAATAATGGAAATGTATTAATAACAGTAATAATAGAGTAAAATAATAAATGCAATAACAATAATAGAGTAAAATGACTAATATAATAATAATAGAGTAAAATAATAAATGTAATAATAATAGTAATAATAATAGAATAAAATAATGGAAATGTAATAATAACAGTAATAATAGTGTAAAATAATAAATATAATAACAATAATAGAGTAAAATAACAAATATAATAATAGAGTAAATAATAAATGTAATAATAATAGTATTAATAGAGGAAAATCATAAATATAATAACAATAATAGAGTAAAATGACAAATATAATAATGGAGTAAAATAATAAATGTAATAATAATAATAATAATAATGGAGTAAAATAATGGAAATGTAATAATAACAGTAATAATAGAGGAAAATAATAAATGTGATAACAATTACAAATAGAGTAAAATGACAAATATAATAATAATAAATATAGTAAAATAATAAATATAATAATAGAGTACAATAATAAATGTAATAATAATAAAGTAAAATAATAATTGTAATAACAATAATAAATAGAGAAAAAATAATAAATGTAATAATAATAATAATAATAATAATGAATAGAGTAAAATAATAACTGTAATAAAATATTAATAACAACCCAGCAAAATAATAAATAACTTTGATCTAAGTATAAGCTGAGGGTTTTTTTTCAGTCCAAAAAAGTGCTGAAAAACCTGGCTTATACTCAAGTATGTATGGTAGTTTATATCTGACATTTCTAGGGACCCTAGGCAGCTTGCAACGAAAAAAATAAACAATTACATAACAAAATGAATACAAATAGAAAATATTTTCTCACAACACCAACCAGTTAAAAATCTCCAGGGTGTTGTAAACCAACTGATAAATTGGCTCAAACTCATACTTTAACTGACCATTGTTTCTTGCTAAACCCACGGAAATTACTACGAGAACAACAAAGGGCTTATCTCTGCTTTGGGTGCTGTGTAAGGGAACCACAAACAGCTTACCTCTGAGTCAGTGAACTGCCAGTGCTGCTGAAAGATCGGTTACCTGGGAAAAGACAAGGAGGAAATATTACAATGCGTAACATTTAGAGTGGGCCAAAAGTCACCCTCAGACAGAGAAAGGGAGATGAATAACCTTCCAAAAATACAGCTCTCTAGAATCATCTCAGACCCAGAAACAGGGCCGACCATCCAGGAGCTGTGATCCACCATTTGGAGGGTCATTGGTTCCTCAATCCTACACTGAAAATCATGCTGAACAGAGTTGCCCCATTACAAATAATACCTTTTGAGGACCAATGAGGCTGTTTCGATGTTTCTGGATGAGATCAACACAGAGGTGATAAAGAATGTCTCTGGCCCAAAAGCCTGTTTAGATGTTTCTTTCTATATGTAGTGAATACAACTGTCTGCAGAGGAGACATTCTCCAAAGGTGTTCTCCGTAACATATTTATCGAGCAAATACATTGTCAGTGCAAAATCATGTATAAAATCCAAATAATTGCCTTCATATGTATTCAGTGGCACAATGGGTTAAACCCTTGTGCTGCTGAATTGCTGACCTGAAGGTTTGTTGTTCATTCGTTCAGTCGCCTCCTATTTATTTATTTTTGTTGTTGTTCATTCGTTCAGTCGTCTCCGACTCTTCGTGACCTCATGGACCAGCCCACGCCAGAGCTCCCCGTCGGCCGTCACCACCCCCAGCTCCTTCAAGGTCAGTCCAGTCACTTCAAGGATGCCATCCATCCATCTTGCCCTTGGTCGGCCCCTCTTCCTTTTGCCTTCCACTTTCCCCAGCATAATTGTCTTCTCTAGCTTTCCTGTCTCCTCATGATGTGGCCAAAGTACTTCAACTTTGTCTCTAGTATCCTTCCCTCCAAGCAGCCGGGCTTTATTTCCTGGAGGATGGACTGGTTGGATCTTCTCGCAGTCCAAGGCACTCTCAGAACTTTCCTCCAGCACCACAGTTCAAAAGCATTTCTCTTCCTTCGCTCAGCCTTCCCTAAGGTCCAGCTCTCACATCCGTAGGTTACTACAGGGAATACCATGGCTTTGACTAGGCGGATCTTTGTTGCCAGTCTGATGTCTCTACTCTTTACTATTTTATCGAGATTGGACATTGCTCTCCTCCCAAGAAGTAAGCGTCTTCTGATTTCCTGGCCACAGTCTGCATCTGCAGTAATCTTTGCACCTAGAAATACAAAGTCTGTCACGGCTTCCACATTTTCTCCCTCTATTTCCCAGTTGTCAATCATTCTTGTTGCCATAATCTTGGTTTTTTTGATGCTTAGCTGCAACCCGGCTTTTGCGCTTTCTTCTTTCACCTTGATTAGAAGGCTCCTCAGCTCCTCCTCGCTTTCGGCCATCAGACCTGAAGGTAGGCAGTTCAAATCTGCAATACAGGGTGAGTTCCCATCTGTCAGCTCCAGCTCCTGCCAAACTAGCAGTTCGAAAACATGCAAATGTGAGTAGATAGCAGATAGTATGCTGTGGTGCAGCTGGCTGGGAGTCAGCTGCATTAAGATCACCACTGAGTTCGAAGCTAGCCCAGATTGGAATGAGCTTTCAACCATTGTGTAGCTCGCTGTCGACCTTTGCAGCCCAAAAGACAGTTACATCTGTCAAGTAGGAAATTTAGGTACCGCTTATGTGGGGAGGCTAATTTAACTAATTTATGATGTCATAAAATCTCCAGCGAGCAAGCAAAGAATGAGGAAGTACTCCATCAGTGTCACAAATGGACGATGAAGGGACAGCTCCCCTGGTGGCCAGAATACTCTAATGAAAGCTGGAAAGTTAAATAGCCTCTGTGTGTCTGTCTATATATGTTGTTTGCCATGCATACGTACATTGTAATCCGCCCTGAGTTCCCTGCGGGGTGAGAAGGGCGGAATATAAATACTGAAAATAAATGAATAAATAGGTACTGCTTCGGCAGAAAAAGGAAAAGTAACACTTCAAGCAATCTTACCAGCCTCACAACCAGAGGTGACAACGTAGATTTCTAAGCTTGAAAATGGAGAAAGCACCTCCCTAGAACCAGAGATCAGCACTGACTCCAAAAGTTGGAAATGAAAGGAGAATCCTCTGCCTTTGTTTGTGTGTCTCATTGTATATGAGTGTAAAGGCTTTGAATGCTTGCCTATGTATCTAAATGCTGTAATCCACTCTGAATTTCCTAGGGGAGAAGGGCAGAATATAAATAAAGTGTATTATTATTTTTATATATAGCAGACCTAGAAGTGTTCTCAGATTCTCATAAAGTAAAGGTTTCCCCTTGACATTAAGTCTAGTCATGGCCGACTCTGGGGGTTGGTGCTCATCTCCATTTCTAAGCCGAAGAGCCAGTGTTGTCCAAAAACACCTCCAAGGTCTTGCGGCCAGCATGACTGCACGGAGCACCCTTACATTCCTGTAGAAGCAGTACCTATTGATCTACTCACATTTGCATGTTTTCGAGCTGCTAGGTTGGCAGGAGCTGGGCCTAACAGTGGGAGCAAACCCCGCTCTCCGAATTCGAATTGCTGACCTTTCGGTCAGCAAGTTCAGCAGGTCAGCGGTTTAACCCACTGCGCCACCAGGGGCTCCTCAGATTCTCATAAATAACCAAGAACCCAAACAAACTGTTAAAAGTAAACAACAGCTATGACTATACTACGATCACTAAGCTTTACAATGAATCTTGAAACCCACAACTCTCAAGGCAATGTGTAGAGAGTTTCACCTCCAGGCCAGCAAAGAGCCTGGATATCTTCCTATGACATTTTGCAAGACTGTTTTTCAAGGACCGAAGCTCTAGAAAGACATCCTTTGAACAAACTGCCTTCAGGGTAAAAATCCAAAACTCAAAACAAATCAAACGTATTTACAGTTTAGAGGTTTCTGCAGTTGGAAGCGATCAATGGAAAAAGTGTCTTACATGCAGAAATTCACGTTCTATGGGTAAGTCTTTGTGTGCCTTTTACCTTACGTGTCATCTGCCCCTATTTAAAATTAATGGCTCAACCAGCATTGATTTTAATGAATATACAGACTGTTTGTTGCTGGTAAAATATTTCTACCCCATTCTATATCAAAAGATCTGATTCTTACAAACAGGTAAAATCAACACTACTAGGTGTTGACTCCTCGAGCCAGGATTATCAAGTGGCTAAACTGCTAAGCTGCGGAAAATCCTGCTGATTGATAGGTTGGCAGTTCAAGCCTGTGTCGGGGTGAGCACCCACCATCAGCCCTAGCTTCTTCGCCTACCTAGCAGATCGAAAATAGAAATGTGAGTAGATAAACAGGTGAAGATAAAGGTTTCCCCTGACATTAAGTCCTGTCATGTCCAACTCTGGGGGTTGGTGCTCATCTCCACTTCTAAGCCGAAGAGCCGGCATTGTCCGTAGACACCTCCAAGGTCATGTGGCTGGCATGACTGCATGGAGTGCTTTACCTTCCTGCTGGAGTGGTACCGATTGATCTACTCACATTTGTATGTCTTTGAATTGCTAGATTGGCAGAAGTTGGGGCTAACAGAGGGAGCTCCCCCGGCTCCCTGAATTCAAACCACTGACCTTTTGGTCAGCAAGTTCAACAGCTCAGCAGTTTAACCTGCTGTGCCATCAGGGAGCCCAGACAAATGATAGAGGACTTAAAAAGAGAGGCTAGGAAAATCAAAATAGAGAAGTACAAAGAAATGGAAAGGAAATGTATATTGCTCCCTAGCACAACTATCAAATATGATTAGTGGTGAAAGTTAAATATGTTGGCACTATGGATTAAGCAAAGGATGGTATGCTCACATATGGTGGGAATGTCCAAAGGCAAAAACATTTTGGGAAAAAATAACAGCAAAAAATGGAGAAACTATTTAAAACACCATGTCAAGTAAATATGACTGCATGGAGCGTTGTTTTCTTCCATCTAGAGTGGTACCTATTGATCTACTCACATTTGCATGTTTTCAAACTGCTAGGTTTGCAGAAGCAGGGGCTAACAGCAGGAGCTCAGCCCACTCTCAGGATTCGAACTACCAACCTTTCAGTCAGCAAGTTCAGCAGCTCAGTGGTTTAACCTGCTGCACCACCAGGGACTCCGAGTATATAAATAGGTACCAATTTAAAGCGGGGAAGTAATAAAAGGTGCCCATAAGGACGTGCCAGCGATTCTGAACCTTGAAACCCACAACTTTGTTGTTCTTAGATAATGTCTAAGAACAACGAAGCTCCATGGCATGGAAAATGGAGTGACATCACCCCCCGTGACGGGAGTCAAGCACAGCCTCCAGATGCCGGAAATGGAAAAGATGGGAAAGCCTTTGCCTCTATTTATATGTTGTCTCTCCTTGTTAATTGTATAACGGCATTGAATATTTGCCGTATACAAGTTCTGTAATCTGCCCTAAGTCCCCTCGGGGAGATAGAGCAGAATATAAATAAAAGTATATTTATTATATTTATTTAGGTTAAAACAATTTATAACAAACAAAATAACTTAAACTGACTAAAAGTATATGAAACAAGGTAACACATTGCAAAGGCTGGAAAGATTAAAACATTCCGAAGCCTTCTGTGTAGCATTGAAAACGAATGAGTGAGGCCAAAATCCTTCAATAAGTAGATATGTTTCTATTTGGTTTCTAAACTAAATCAATGTTGGCACTATTGGGCTGAGAAGGCTCTCTCCCATAACCTGACACCTTGTTTTGACATGGGTTGCACATACAGCATTGGATGGCATTTTGAAGGCACCTGCCAAACTGCCCAAATTCATTTTCCAGCTTCTCAAAATTGCCTGGTGTTGGAAAAACCAACACTGAAAAGCATGACTAAATCCCACAGATTTCAGTGAGTTTGTTATTGTGTCAGGATCCAACTATATGAGTACCTGATTGACTATTTTTGCTCTGTTGCTACAACAAACCTTGGATTTCCAAAAAAAAAAAAAAAAAGAAACCTTTATTCTTCCCAAACAGCAGTTGTAGGGTTATACGCATCCACTGAGCATTGAAGAAGCATCTAAAAATGTCACATTATATTTTTCACTCCGATCTGAGAATAGTGGCGGCAACAGACATTTTTAGACCCAAGATCGTATTATTAAAATTGGCACATTGCGGCGTCCTACTGTGCAAGTTCTTACATGCAACAATAAGATGTGGCAAAAAGGAAATGGTGGCATTTAGTGGTGTGCCATTCGAAAGCATACAAATCCCCTTTTTGTCACCACAGAAACAGCAACTAATGTAAGACAAGATCATAAAGGATATACGAGGGGCCTCATTAAAGATTTCCTCTGACCCACTTCCTGTGGACTGAGAGCAATGAAGCTTGGCCTAGTTATGAGTCTTTCTCTCCATCGGTGCCACCTAGGGACACACACTTCTCCCATCTTTTTAAACACCTTGTTTATAGAAGTTGACAGGTTGCTCCAAAAGCCACCTTGTGACTTCAGACATCAGAGTATCGTCATCTGAAAAATGCTTGACCTTCAAAAATAATTTCATTGTTGGAAAGAGGTGGAAGTCTGATGATGCAATGTCAAGTGAATAAGGGGGATGCGATAGAATTTCAAAGCCAAAGGAGCATGCCTCTTCCTTTTGGGCAACAGGTGAGTTGTGAACTGGTGCATTGTCTTGCAGAAGGCGGACACCTTTGGAGAGCATGCCATGTCCCTTGGTTTTGATGGCCTCCCATAATTTCCACAGCAATGAAGCATAGCATGCCCCAGTGATCATGGTACACTTTGCTCGGAAATCCATCAATCCTACTCTGTGCTGGTCCCAAAATATTGTGAGCATGATGTTCCCTGCTGAGAGTTGAACACGTGCCTACTCTGGGGGCAGTGAGTCCTGATGCTTCCATTGCTTCAACTGGACTTTAGTCTCGGGATCCTAGTGAGAGACCCAGTTTTCATCCTGTGTGATCAGTCTGTTGAAAAAGTCCTCTTTGTTTCCATGGCACATCATTGTCAATAGAATCATAGAATCATAGAATCATGGAGTTGGAAGAGACCTCATGGGTCATCCAGCCCAACCCACTGCCAAGAAGAAGGAAAATTGCATTCAAAGCACCCCTGACAGATGGTTATCCAGCCTCTGTTTAAAAGCTTCCAAAGAAGGAGCCTCCACCACACTCTGGTGCAGAGAGTTCCACTGTTTAACGGCTCTCACAGTCAGGAAGTTCTTCCTAATGTTCAGATGGAATCTTGTAGTTTGAAGCCATTGTTCCATTGCGTCCTAGTATCCAGGGCAGCAGAAAACAAGCTTGCTCCCTCCTCCCTATGACTTCCTCTCACATATTTATACATGGATATAATGTCTCCTCTCAGCCTGTGTGATCAGTCTGTTGAAAAAGTCCTCTTGGTTTCCATGGCACATCATTATCAATAGAGTCTGAGGACATTTGACTCATTCCTGATTTTGGAAAGGTGTGAGCAGTTGGGGGACATGGCGAGCTAATACATTATGCATGTGAAGATGGTCTTGGATGATTTTTTCCACAGACCCCACACTAATCTTGACATTTTGGGCTAGGGAGAGAATGGTTATGTGGCATTTCCCCAAAATGGCAACCTCTACTTGTTGAATGGTGTGTTCATCAATAGCAGAGTGGGGTCGCCCTGGAATTGGAGCTGTTTCCCCCGAAGTCTGACCACATTTGAATTGACGATGCCAGTTCTTGACTCCATTATATGATGGGGAATTATCACCATAAACCTCTTTAATGTCATCAAACATCTCCTTTGGTGTGCAGCCTTTCAAGTAAAGGAAATTGAGACTGCTCTGTATTTTACTGAGTCCATTCTCAAACCTCACACCACTTCAGCACTTGTAAAATCAAGACCGTTATCAGTTCTGAGTTGTAAATTGGTATGTAGCCTATTGAGACTTATATCATTACCCACGTGCAGTTTCAGCGTGCTGTGATAAATAGAAGTGAGTCAGGGGAAATCTTTAATGAACGCCCCTCGTTGCTAAAAAGCCTTCTTCTGAACATAAGTGTTTGTAAAGCGCAACGAAGCAGGATGCTTGAGTGATGCTGTTTTACTGCACGGCGCATGGAAAGAAGCAAGGCATGCAACGGGATCTTAAAGGAAAGAGAGCCAAGCTAGAGAGCAAGCCTTCCTGCCTGGCACCACCCCATGCCAGCATCATTCTTCCCAAACAGATTTACTTACTATCCAACTCCTCCTCCTCATCACTGGAAGAAGAGCCAATAGAAAAGACAGTTTTAGACTTAGGAATGAGTGGAGAGATGCTGAAGGAGAAGGAAATCCGCCTGGATGGCCGAGTCCGTCCCGGGGCTGAGAAGTAGGTTAACAGCAGACATTAGAGCATGCATTTTAAAAACAACAACACAACTAGATCAAACAACAAATACTAGTTGAAAAGAAAAGGGAACTGGCAAGAGGAGGAGCAAAGAGCAAGCAGAGAAAGAGAGGAGCAAAAGGAGTACCGGGAAATTTAGAAGCCAGAATAGCAAAACGAATGCTCTCTTTTCAACTAGACAATACGAATCAGGTTATATTTCACAGATAAGCTGCACATTTATTTAATTATAGCTTTTCATTGCAACACTATGTAAAAGTACTATAACAGGCATGGGCAAACTTTGGCCCTCCAGGTGTTTTAGACTTCAACTCCCACCATTCCTAACAGCCTGCCGGCTGTTAGGAATGGTGGGAGTTGAAGTCCAAAACACCTGGAGGGCCAAAGTTTGCTCATGCCTGTCTGCAACTATACTACAAAACAGCAGGTAAGGCCACAAGGCGGAACTATGGGATGGGGGGCATCCATAACTTAAAGAAAATTCAGTCAGCTGCCATTTGCACTAGCAATGAACTGTTGGGTCTATCTCAGGAATACTTAAATGAAGTATTGATCCCTTCTACTTTCCGACGGTCTTTTGCGGGACCTGGGAAAGAAAATGGCATTGGTGGCTGGCATTTGCTTTAAGCAAATGGAAGTTAGGGGCATTGTACAAGCAGCCTCACAAGCAGAAGCAAAGGAGACCAACAAATTCAGCATAAATATCTCCTAAAAGTAAAGCTCTCCACTACAGCAGGTGCCAGAGGCAACCTTACCTTGCAGAAATCTTTTTACAAGATCCATGTAATTCTTTTGGGCTCCTCCTGCCCGTTACCCCATAAAGCAATAAGGGTAAAGAGAAGGGTAGTAAGTCGCAAAATGGAAACACGATGTTAATAGAATGTTGGCTCTACAACACCTATAGATACTGTAGGGAAATTATTTCTTTCACTTGTTTTTGTATAATGAGCAAAATCTAGCCCAACGAGAGCAGGTCCAATAATAATAATAATAGCAACAACAACAACAATAATAATAATCCCCCTGATGGGTGCCACCTTGATATAGATATAGATCTCGCTTGGTGTGACATACTGTGTTTTTATGTCAGTAAAATAATAATAATAATAATAATAATAATAATAATAATAATAATAATAATAATACAAAGTATGGAGTGTCGATGTTGCAATCCCAGGTGACAGCAGGATTGAAGAGAAACAACTGGAAAAGTTGACACAATATGAGGATTTAAAGATCGAACTGCAAAAACTCTGGCACAAACAAGTAAAGATGGTCCCAGTGGTGATCGGCACACTGGGTGCAGTGCCTAAAGGCCATGGCTTGCATTTAAACATAATCAGCGTTGACAAGATTAAGATCTGCCAGCTGCAAAAGTGCACCTTACTGGGATCTGCATGCATTATTTGCCGATACATCACACCAGGGGTCCCCAAACTACGGCCTGCGGCCCGCCAAGGGCCTTTATCCGGCCCGTGCAGCCTGTCCTGGCCTGTCCAAAGCCCCGCGGGAGAGCAGAGAGCGCTTCTCCCTCCACAGGCTTCTCCCTTCTGCGCTGCTCTGGAAAGGTTTGGCCCAATTCTATTGTTGATGAGGTTCAGAATGCTCTGTGATTGTAGGTGAACTACAAATCCCAGCAACTACAACTCGCAAATGTCAAGATTCTATTTCCCCCATACTCCACCAGTGTTCACATTTGGGCATATGGAATATTCGTGCCAAGTCTGGGCCAGATCTTTCATTGAATCCACAGTGATTTATGGAGGCAGGTGAACTACAACTCCAAAACTCAAGGTCAATGCCCACCAAACCCTTCCAGTATTTTCTGTTGTTCATGGGAGTTCTGTGTACCAAGACTGGTTCAATTCCATCATTGGTGGAGTTTAGAATGCTCTTTGATTGCAGGTGAACTATAAATCCCAGCAAATACAACCCCCAAACGCCACCAGTGTTCACATTTGGGCATATTGAGCATCAGTGCCAAGTTTGGTCCAGATCCATCATTGTTTGAGTCCACAGTGATCTCTGGATGTAGGTGAACTACAACTCCAAAACCAAAGGACACTGCCCACCAAACCCTTCCAGTATTTTCTGTTGGTCATGGGAGAACTGTGTGCCAAGTTTGGTTCAATTCCATCATTGGTGGGTTCAGAATGTTCTTTGATTATAGGTAAACTATAAATCCTAGCAACTACAACTCCCAAATGACAAAATCATTTTTTTTTGAGTGAAGGACATACATTGGGTTGTTAGGTGTCCAGTGGTTTTTGAGTTACAGAAAATGAACACGTCAAACTACTCTGGGATTTCCGAATTCAGACAGACAGAGTTTTGGAGCACAAGACTCCTGACCTCACCGTGTTAAAAAACCAAGTATAGATCATTGATGTTGCAATCCCAGGCGACAGCAGGATTGAAGAGAAACAACTGGAAAAGCTGACACAATATGAGGGTTTAAAAATCAAACTGCAAAGAGTCTGGCACAAGCCAGTCAAGGTGGTCCCAGTGCTGATCGGAAGACTGGATGCAGTGCCTAAAAACCTTGGCTTTCACTTAAAACACAATCGGCGCTGACATAATTAACATCAGTCAGCTGCAAAAGGCCACCCTACTGGGATCTGCATGCATTATTTATTGATACACCACAAAGTCCTAGACACTTGGGAAGTGTCTGACGTGCAGTCCAATACAACAGCCAGCATAGTGATCTTGTTTGCTGAGTACTAATCTTGTTATGTTTCAAATAATAATAATAACAACAATAACAACAACCCAGTGGTGATTGGCACACTGGGTGCAGTGTCTAATGACCTTGGACTGCACTTAAAAACAATCAGCCTATACTTACAAACAATGGGAGAGAAAAACTTGCTGCTTCATTTAAGAAATGACAATGATAGCCATAAGATAAAATGATGGGATTCAGAAAGAGAAGGAAAATTGATGCAAAGCACATTGGTAGTGGCTATTTTAATGGATGGATAAGACAGTGCTTTGGTTACTGTTGCTAAGGGGCAGGAAGCCTTCCATCAACATTCGCATTAGTCATGAAGCTTGAGCAATCAAGCCACATAAACCTCCTTGAAAACGCCCTTCGAAAGCAGCCACCAAGGCCAAAGAGGAACGTCCTGCTCAAGTGATACTTTGCTTGAAATGCACAGCTTTTTAGAGAGTCAGCAGACGGCTGGAGTTTTATTTTTATTTTATTTTTGTTATCACATCTTACTCTTCCTCCAGAGGATCTGAACAGTATTAAACATTCTTTATTACCACTCTGACCTTCATAATAATCCTTCAGGGTAAGTTAAATTGAGAGAAAACAACTAGTCTGAGTCCACTCGAGCATTTCCATGACTCTTATACAACTAGCCTAGAGTTTAATTTCTTTTTGGAGTGGAAATGCCTGGCTTCTCTCTTTCCCTTCCTTCTCTTCTTATTTCTGCCCTCCATCTTTGCTTTGGAGAGGATGAATAGACTCTAACCCTTGCTTTATTTGTCTTTGCTTAAAGGTAAAGGCAAAAGTTTCCCCTTGACATAAAGTCTAGTCATGTCCAACTCTGGGGGGTGGTGGTGCTCATTTCCATTTCTAAGCCAAAGAGCTAGCATTGTCCATAGACACCTCCAAGGTCATGTGGCCGGCATGACAGCATGGAGCGCCGTTAACTTCCTGCAAAAGTGGAACTCATTGCTCTACTCACATTTGCAGGTTTTTGAACTGCTAGGTTGGCAGAAGCTGGGACTTAACAGCAGGAGCTCACTCCACTCCACAGATTCAAACTGTGAACCTTTTAGTCAGCAAGTTCAGCAGTTTAACCTGCTGCGCCACCAGGGGTCTTTGCTTAATAGACACTTATTTGCAATCTCCTTTGGAACTTCATTTTGTTGTTAACAGAGACATCATTACAACTGTACTAAATACAAATGATATACTTCTATTCTCAAGAATATGGCTCACGTCTAGTATTCCACTGACTGTGTTCTGGGAAAACTGGATTTCTAAATTGAATTAAGGACAGCTCTACTCGGATGCCAAGATCTTATTGAAATTTAGGAATGGTACTGTTTTGTTCCACCCATTTCCAGTGCCATTCTTATGCCCAAAGCGTCTTGGAAGTCCAGATGAATGAAGGGAGTAGGTACGAAGCACAGTTTGACCAAGTGTCAAAGCAAATCAGATGCTCAACCAACTTGTCCAAACAAGCAGGCACTGACATCACTTTAGGACCAGCAAAAACACCAAACCAAACCAACCCTCAAGGCATACAGTCAGCCAACAGAGCACACCTGGTTGCATTTCTTTTGGCAAATAGCACAGATGTACAGACAACGTATTTTTCTTTCAAAATGCCAGCTGGATAGAAAATAATCAAATTGGCATTATAAAAGGGAGCAACACAGGTTTTGAGGTGGGGTTGGATGTGTAGAAAGGATTAGTTCAAAAAGATAAATTTTCATTTGCCTGCTGAAGAACTAGATGCTTTGTTTGCAGGTGTGCCATTGACAATAAAAGTACACAAATTGTAATATGTGCATATATGAAATACAGGGGCTCATGCAAATCTGAGTGACTTTGTATGCAAAGTGATGGGTGAAATCTGAGCAGATCTGAATGACTTTGTATGCAAAGTGATGTACGAAATCGTCACACTAAGCCACCGAGTGGTTAGGGGTCCCACTCTGAGTATCAGAGCAAAGGAGCCCTCTGACCACTCAGAACAGCTCTGCTGGTCTATTAGTTGCAGATGCAATGCAGGCAGTCAAGTGAGCTTTCTTGGCTACCTCCATTGCCGTGGACTAGGCCCTAAGGGAGGCTCTAGCCTAGGGGTTTTCAAACTAAGCCTGGGGGTCAGATATAGCCCTCCAAGGTCATTTACCCGGCCCTCACTCAGGGTCAACCTAAGTCTGAAATGACTCGAAAGCACACAACAACAACAACAATTGTCGAAGGCTTTCATGGCCGGAATCACTAGGTTCTTGTGGGGTTTTTCGGGCTATATGGCCATGTTCTAGAGGCATTTCTCCTGACGTTTCGCCTGCATCTATGGCAAGCATCCTCAGAGGTAGTGAGTGGGACCTCACTACCTCTGAGGATGCTTGCCATAGATGCAGGTGAAACGTCAGGAGAAATTCCTCTAGAACATGGCCATATAGCCCGAAAAAACCCACAAGAACAACAACAATCCTATCTTATCAGCCAAAAGCAGGCCCACACTTCCCATTGAAATACTAATAAGTTTATATTTGTTAAAATTGTTCTTCATTTTAATTATTGTATTGTTTTAAGTGTTTTTTGCACTACAAATAAGATATGTGCAGTGTGCATAGGAATTCATTCATTTTTTTTTCAAATTATAATCCGGCCCTCCAACAGTTTGAGGGACTGTGACCTGGCCCTCTGTTTAAAAAGTTTGAGGACCCCTGATCTAGCCCATGATCGGTCAGATTCATCCCGAGTCTTCTGCCAGCGGCACACAAGTCTCCGTCTTGCTTGCTTCATCATCTTTAGCTCCCTGGTGAACCAACGAGCCCATTTGGCTCTGCTAAGTGAGAAGGGACATTCAGGGGTGATTATGAACACCATACTGGTCGTCTCCCTATTCCAGAGGTCTGCCAGAGCTTCAATAGGATTGTGTGCCACCATTACAGGAAAATCCCCAAGAACCATCAGGAATCCATTCAGATCCATAAATGAAGCTGCAGTCAGTCTAAACTTGATCAGGGAGTGATCAGTCCATGATAATGGAACTATAGAAAGTGCCTCCACACCACCAACACCCTCATCCCATCCCGCATTGAAAATCAAGTTCAACATGTGTCCAGCTACATGGGTGGGCCCAGATATAATTTGGAACATCCCCATGGTTGTCATGGTGGCCATGAAGTCCTGAACCACTACCAACAGGGTGGCCTTGGCATGGTTGTCGAAGTCCCCCAGCACAATTATTTATTTATTTGTTACTTATTTACTATATTTATATACCATCCCTCTCAGCCCTCAGGCGACTCAGGACAGTTCACAGTTGGCACTAAGACCATAAAATACAATTAAAAGCATTAAAATATTATAAAACCATAACAAAGTCAATTAGCCACTGAGACTCCAATGCAAGGCCAGAGACGACTCTGGCTACCTCAGGTAAGAAGAATGTTGTGCAGCGGGGTGGACGGTACACAAACAGAATCCCTAATCTGTCTCAGTTGCCTACTCTGAGATAGACACATTCAAATATGGATGACTGCAGGATGGGGCACTGATCAGGGGGATAAGTAATAATACAGTAACACATATGTGTCACTGCTTTGAAATAGGTAAAGTGCTGGACTAGGTTCGAAAAATTCAAGTCCCCACTAAGCTACGAAACTTAATGGGAATGGAGGCATCAGTTGCTCTCTCTCACCTTGACAAAGCTGTTGTGAGAATAAGCATTGGAGAACAAAACAAAATCAAATAAAACAAACCTCACAGTAATTAACAATAATCCTTTCCTGAGGAGAGCACAAACATGCTTTAGTTGGTTAATGAGGGAAATTAATCTAGGCAACATGATGATGACGACAACAACAACAACGATGACTATGGCACAAGCCAGTAAAGGTGATCCCATTAGTGATAGACACACTGGGTGTATTTATTTATTTAGTTACTATATATATATATACCATCCCTCTCAGCCCACAGGCGACTTGGGATAGTTTATAGTTGGTACCAAGACCACAAAATACCTGTAGTGCCTGAAGACCTTGGCCTGCACTTAAAAACAATCGGTGCAGACAAAATTACCACTTGTCAGCTGCAAAAGGCCACCCTACTCGGATCTGTACACATTATTTGCCAATACACCACACAGTCCTAGACACTTGGGAAGTGTCCAATGTGTGATCAAATACAAAATGCTTCAAGATCCCTTTACTCACAGCAGATGTAAGCCTATTAAAAAAGACAAAATGAACAGAAGGGAGAGAGACAAAAATACGGGGCAAGTCTGAAGGCTGTGGGTGATGACTCCATTCCATAACCCTAGTCCCCAGGTGTCTTTTCTTTAGAAGGCAGCCATACTGGAGGAGACAATCTATCCCAAGCAACAAGGATCTGAACTCAAGCAGCTTCCTACCCTTCCCACATGAGTTCTACCAAAATGGCACTGAGCTCAAGTGGTGTGAGAAAAAAGGAAGTGCTATTATTAGTACTTTCAAGATGCGGTCATTGCTCAGCGACTGAATCCAAGACAAAGGCAAGAGTTATGTGTACTCACTTTCTGGTCCAGCCTGAGTGATGGTCATAAGAGACATCGATTTAGTCAATGGAGGAGAAACAGCAGTTGTGGAAAAGTTGAAGGCACGGGGCTGTGATCGTTGGTGCATCTGGAAGGCGAGACAATTCAATTGAAATACACCTCCCTGCCATTCAAAAGTTAGAATACACAACTGGTGACCAAGGGGCTCATTACAGATTGAAGGAAAGGAAGGAGTTGAGGCAGATGAAGTGCTACTAACTCTAGCAAGTGCTCATACGGGAGAGGAAGGAGTAAAAGAGTGGCCAGAACTAATGCTCTTCGCCCTTCAAAACATGGACAAACTAAGCCCTGCAGGCATTTTGGATTAGGTTATTAGGACTTGTGGGAGTTGAAGTCCAAAACACCTGGAGGGCTGAAGTTTTCCCATGCCTGTTGGAGACTTCAAATGGAGATGATGGGAATAGCTCTATTTAAACTCAGTGTTTCTCAATCTGGGAGTTGGGACCCGGGGGGGGGGGGGGGGGGTGTCAGAGGGGTCACCAAAAATCATCCGAAAACACAGTATTTTCTGTTGGTCATGGGGGTTCTGTGTGTGAAGTTTGGCCCAATTCGATCGTTGCTGGGGTTCAGAATGCTCTTTCCTTGTAGGTGAACTATAAATCCCAGCAACTACAACTCCCAAATGTCAAGGTCCATTTCTCATCCTGGGGGTTGGGACCCGGGGGGGGGGGTGAGGGGGTGTCAGAAGGGTCACCAAAAATCATCCGAAAACACAGTCTTTTCTGTTGGTCATGGGGGTTCTGTGTGGGAAGTTTGGCCCAATTCGATCATTGGTGGGGTTCAGAATGCTCTTTGATTGTAGGTGAACTATAAATCCCAGCAACTACAACTCCCAAATGTCAAAGTCTATTTTCCCCAAACTCCACCAGTGTTCACATTTGGGCATATTGAGCATTCGTGCCAAGTTTGGTCCAGATCTATCCTTGTTTGAGTCCACAGTGCTCTCTGGATATAGGTGATCTACAACTCCCAAACTCAAGGTCAATGCCCACCAAACATTTCCAGTATTTTCTGTTGGTCAAGGAGTTCTGTTTGCCAAGATTGGTTCAATTCCATTATTGGAGTTCAGAATGCTCTTTGATTGCAACTGTACATCCCAAGAACTACAACTCCCAAATGACAAAATCATCCCCCCCCCCACCTCACAAGTATTCATATTTGGGCGTATCAGTTATTTGTGCCAAAATTGGTCTAGTGAATGAAAATGCATCCTGCTTATCAGATATTTACATTACGATTCATAACGGCAGTAAAATTACTATTGTGAAGTAGCAATGAAAATAATTTTATGGTTGGGGGTCACCATCACTTCAGAAACTGTATTATGGGGTCGTGGCATTAGGAAGGTTGAGAACCACTACCTTTGGGGCCGGTGATGGGAAATGCACAAGAGGACCAGGCTTACCTGGCGGTCAAAGCTTCTCATTTCTGCTTGCTCTGATTCCAGTTCCTCTTCCGTGAGTGAGACCAACGACCCTCGCTCATCGTTTGTGAGGGAATTCTGTCGCAAATCTTTGGCGTTGAGAGATGCCGTCTCCAAACCTGAGGATGGCTTCTTCATGCTGCCGGCCTCTCCAGCAAGGCCTTCCAAACTATAGCTGAAGACGAAGACTAGGGATTAGACGACTCTTGCAGATCTCAATGGATCGGTATTGAAAGACTTGTCAAGGAAAGCATATTTGACAGGAAGTGCCCAATGAAAACATTTCAAATGACAGGACAACCACATTCACGTAGGGCTCGTTGCCTTGGTTAGTTGCAAGATCTAGCGTTAGTGCAGAAAGCAATGATAGTGATGCATTTTTTCATGTCAGGAGCAACTTGAAAACTGCAAGTCGCTTCTGGTGTGTGAGAGAACTGGCCGTTTGCAAGGATGTTGTCCAGGAGATGCCCGGATGTTTTACCATCCCGTGGGAGGCTTTGCTGATGTCCCCACATGAGAAGCTGAAGCTGACAGATGGGAGCTCACCCCACTCCCCACCAACCTTTCGGTCAGCAGTCCTGTCAGCACGAGGGTTTAATCTATTGTGCCACTGGGTGCTCCTAAGTTCTATGTTCTAAGTTCTACGTTGCCTGAATTCGAACCACCAACCTTTCGGTAAACAGTCATGTCATCACAAGGGTTTAATCTATTGTGCCACTGAGTGCTCCTAAATTCTATGTTCTAAGTTCTACGTTGCCTGGATTCGAACTGTCAACCTTTCAGTCAGCAGTCCTGTAATCACAAGGATTTAACGCATTGTGCCACTGGGTGCTCCTAAGTTCTATGTTCTAAGTTCTACGTTGCCTGGATTCGAACCACCAACCTTTCGGTAAACAGTCCTGTCAGCACAAGGGTTTAACCCATTGTGCCACTGGGAGCTCCTAAGATCTATGTTCTAAGTTCTACATTGCCTGAATTAGAACGACCAACCTTACGGTCAGCAGTCCCGTCAGCACAAGGGTTTAACCCATTGTGCCACTGGGCGCTCCTAAGTTCTACGTTCTAAGTTCTACATTGTCTGGATTCAAACTGCCAACCTGCTGGCACAATGGTTTAACCCATTGCACCACCGGGAGCTCCAGCAGCACAATGAGGAATACAATCCATCCGAAAAGCTCTCTTGGGCACTGGAAAGAAGACATGTTTACAGACTTCTGCTAGGCTTTTTGGGACAAAATCTGTGTTTTGTTGAGAGTGAACCAACCCATGATCAGGTGAAGACTTCAAGTTCTACCTGACAAACTTGGTCTTTTTGTCAATGAGGAATACTATTTCAAAACTGGCCCTGAATGTCAAGTATATAGTTGGGGATCCCACATCTTTTCTGTAATGGTATACTGTCATTTTAATATAGCCCTTATAAGCTAATAAAGGAGCCCTTGGTTACGCAATGGGTTAAACCCTTGTGCTGGTTGGACGGCTGACCAAAAGGTTGGCAGTCCAAATCTGGGGAGGGGGCGAGCTCCCGTTTGCAAGCTCCATGTTTTCATGCGGGGGCATGAGAGAAGCCTCCCACAGGATGGTAAAAAGCCAGAGTGAAGAGAGAGGGGGCCAAGAGGACAGTTCCATCTGCTAATAATATAATATAATATAATATAATATAATATAATATAATATAATATAATATAATATAATATAATATAATATAATATATTGTATATTCATATGATATTTATAATAATGTAATGCAATATAATACTACTAATAATAATAATACAATATTATAATTATATATTTTATATTACATGTAATATTACTAATAATATTACAATATAATGGTATAGTACGATATAGTAATATATAATACTGATATTGTGCTATGCTAATAATATATCTTGTATATATATCTTGTAAGCCTCCCACAGGATGGTAAAACATCCGGGTGTCCCCTGGGCAACGTCCTTGCATACGGCCAATTCTCTGACACTAGAAGTGACTTGCGGTTTCTCAAGTTGCTCCTGACACAGAGGAAAAAAGCAAATAAACTGTGTTGTCGAAGGCTTTCATGGCCGGAATCACTGGGTTGTTGTGTATTTTTGGGCTATATGCCCTTGTTCCAGAAGCATTCTCTCCTGTCGTTTTGCCTGCATCTATGGCAAGGTGGCATCAGAGGTTGTGAGTTCCTTACAACCTCTGTGGATGCTTGCCACAGACGCAGGTGTAACGTTAGGAGAGAATGCTTCTGGAACAAGGCCGTACAGCCCGGAAAACACACAACAACCCAGCTAATAAACCATTTCAAAAGTCAACAAATCAGCCATTTCAAAAGTCTCTATGTACCAACTCAATTGAGTCAGGAAGAAGTGAATATGTCATCTATCTCTGCCTCCACTCTTTCGTCCACCTGCCGTGTAGCTTCTCTAAGTTAAGAGAGAAACATTCTGGCCAGCCAAAATTTTATGGGTTGATTCAAAAGGCAAAAGAAGTGAACAGTAAAGTGAACCAGAATTTGCACAACGTCCAAACTAGCCAATACATGAAAAACGATGATGCTACAGAAGCCATACAGAAAGCTAAAAGCACTGGGTTTGCAAGCTGCCTTGGGTGCTCCATCACATAGACTTATACTCTACCTTCTACCATTAAAGTCGGAACCCATGGCAGTGCACTGGACACCCAAGGGACACCAGCTCATACTAGGAAACATTAAAAGGCAAAAAAGGGCCTGTTGATACTGGATTGACAGCTTATACGTGCCATTTCAAAATTTCAAAACAATCAGTTCTTCAAGAAACAAAACTAGTTGCACTCTTTTGTGAATGAGGAGAATTTGGACTGTCTAAGGAACTAAAAGCTAAGTGAAAAGGATGCTTCTAGTGACTGGGTGATGTTAATGAATGCCCAGGAATATTCAAAACTTTAGGCAAAATTCAGTCCATAAAATGTAGAAATTTCATAAAGGAAATGGCCAATTTAAGTAGCTGAGGGGAAAAGGAAGGGGCCGAAATCTGTTAGGAATTGTGGGAGTTGAAGTCCAAAACACCTGGAGGGCCTAAGTTTGCCCATGCCTAATCTAGAGTTACTTTAGATGTGATGTTTTCAAGCCTCCAAATCATGACTTTAGAACAGTGAGATCAAATGGTATAACTACTGCTAATATATGAGATGAGGAAGGAGCATAAGGGTTATGATTATGCCTCTAATGAAGAATGCAGAATGAAATAATAAATAATAATAAATAATAAACTTTATTTATACCCCGCCACCATCTCCCCAATGGGGACTCAGAACGGCTTACGTGAGGCCAAGCCCGGAACAACAATTGTATGTGTTGTGTTCATTTACAAAAGACACTTCTTACAAAGTCATACCCTTGCCATCCCAAATAGGACATGGGGCCGCAATGGGTTAAACCGTTGAACTGTTGAATCTGCTGACCTAAAGGTTGGCAGTTCAAAGCCGTGGGTTGGAGTTAGCTCCTGCTGTCAGCCCTAGCTCCTGTCAACCTAGCAGTTTGAAAACATGCAAATGTGAGTAGATCAATAGGTACCCTTCCACGGGAAGGTAATAAAGACATTCATGCAGTCATGCTGGCAACATGACCAGGAGGTGTCTACGGACAACAGGTTCCTGGGCTTGGAAATGGAACAAGAGCACCTCCCCATGGCCAGAGTTGAGCACCGCCTCCAGAAAGCCAGAGATGTGAAAGGGGAAGCCTTTACCTTTCATCTGTGTATTTGTATGTTACTGTTATTTCCACTGTATTAAAGGCATTGAGGTGTCTACGAAAAACAGGCTCAGGGCTTGGAAATGGAACAAAAACACTTCCCCATGACCAAAGTTGGCACCACCTCCAGCAAGCCGGAGATGAAAGGGGAAGCCTTTATCTTTGTTCTGTGTACTTGTATGTCATTGTTATTTCCACTGTATTAAAGGCATTTAGGTGTCTATGGACAACAGGGCTTGGGAATGGAACAAGAGCACCACCCCATGGCCAAAGTTGAGCACCACCTCCAGAAAGCCAGAGATGAAAGGGGAAGCCTTTACCTTTGTTCTGTGTATTTGTATATTTTTTGTTATTTCCACTGTATTAAAGGCATTGAGGTGTCTATAGACAACAGGCTCCTGGGCTGGGAATGGAACAAGAACACCTCCCCACGGCCAGAGTTGAACAGCGCCTCCAGAAAGCAGGAGATGAAAGGGGAAGCCTTTACCTTTGTTCTGTGTATTTGCATGTTATTGTTATTTCCACAGTATTAAAGGCATTGAGGTGTCTATGAACAGCAGGCTCAGGGCTTGGAAATGGAACAAAAACACTTCCCCATGACCAGAGTTGAGCACCATCTCCAGAAAGCCAGAGATGAAAGGGGAAAGCCGTTATCTTTGTTCTGTGTATTTGTATGTCATTGTTATTTCCACTGCATTAAAGGCATTGAATGTTTGCCTAACTATGTATGTTGTAATCTGCTCTAAGTCCCCTCGGGGAGATAGAGCAGAATATAAATAAAGTATTATTATAGTATCCCAGAAGAAAAATGGTCCAGGAACATTTTGTGTTCAACTTCAGCCCGAAGGGGAAATCTAGCAATCTGCCTTTGTTGGGATAATCAGATGGTAGTCAAGTACTAAACTATAAATAACACCAAAGCAGGATGTTAGTAGCCATTTGAACGCAGCAGGGTTAGTAGGCATCAGTGTGTGGTATACCTTCTCCTATGAGTGGGAGGCTTCTTTACACCATCCCCCAGCAATCGCATTGAACTGAAAAAATGAATCATGAATAACAGTCAGTGAGCAATGACAAAGGAGTGACATGAAGAAATATAAAGAAATCTACAAACTAGGGGGTAGGGGAAGAGGAATTTGCTTCTCTGTGTTAAACTGCATTAATTGGATGAGGGCCAACAAACTGAGACTTAATCCAGATGAGACAGATGTCCTCGTGGTCAGTTGTGTAACCAATCGGTGTATAGGGTGGCAACCTGCGCTCAATGGGGTTACACTCCCTCTGAGGACACAGGTTCACATTCTGGGGGTTCTCCTGGACTCATCGCAGATGATTGAAGCTCAGGTGTTAGCAGTGGCTGGGAGGACCTTCACACATTTAAAAATTGTGGACCCGCTGTGATTATACCGCAAAAAGCCTGACTTGGCCACAGTAATCCATGCCTTAGTTACATCCAGAATGGACTACTGCAATGTACTCTACGTGGGGCTGCCTTTGAAGACGGTTCAGAAAGTGTAGCTATTGCAAAGGTCTGGTGCCAAATTACAAACTAGGACTAACTATAGGGAACATACTATGCCCCTTCTAAAACAGCTCCAATGGCTTCTGACAAGTTTCTGGTCTCAATTCAAGGTGGAGGTTATTACCTACAAAGTCCTATATGTTTCTGGACCAACCTATATTCAAGACTGCATCTCTTTCTATGAAGTGGCGCTGGCATTGAGATTGGCAAGGGAGGCCCTTCTCTCAGTCCCACCACCATCTCAAGTGCGGTTGGTGGGAATGAGAGGGAAGCATTTCTCAACCTGGGGATCATGACCCCCGGGGGGGGGGGGGGTGTGTCACAAAGGGGTGTCAGACGGGTCGCCAAAGACCATCAGAAAACACAGTCTTTTCTGTTGGTCATTGAGGTTCTGTGTGGGAATTTTCTACTGGTTATGGAGGTCTTGTGTGGGAAGTTTGACCCAATTCTATCATTGGTGGGGTTCAGAATGCTCTTTGATTGTAGGTGAACTATAAATCCCTGCAACTACAACTCCCAAATGTCAAGGGTCTATTTTCCCCAAACTCCACCAGTGTTCACATTTGGGCATATTGAGTATTTATGCCAGGTTGGATCCAGATCCATCATTGTTTGAGTCCACAATGATTTCTGGATGTAGGTGAACTACAACTCCAAAGCTCAAGGTCAATGCCCACCAAACCCTTCTAGTATTTTTTATTGGCCATGGGAGCTTTGTTTGCAAAGTTTGGTTCAGTTCCATCATTGGTGGAGTTCAGGATGCTCTTCGATTATAGGTTAACTATAAATCCCAGGAACTACAACTCCCAAATGACAAAATCAATCCCAACCCCAAATTTGGGCGTATCGGATATTTGTGCCAAATTTGTTCCAGTGAATCAAAATACATCCTGCATATCAGATATTTACATTACAATTCATAACAGTAGTAAAATTACAGTTATAAAATTACAAAACTAATTTTATGGTTGAGGGTCACCACAAAATATGTGTTGCATTGTGTTACTGGGCACATAGAGCCCTTCACTCACCTCCGGTGGTTGACTTCGGATTCACTACTGCCATTTTTTCCCGGGCCCCAGCTGTGCCGCCGGAAAGGAGACAAGGGCCTTATGGAGTTCCTTAAGGAAGACGGAGGTGGAGGCACTTCTGTGATGCTATCCAGCTCCTCCTCCAGTTCTCCCAACACAACAGCTCCGCCGCCTTGATCTTCGGCACCCACTGCCGTGTTGAAGGGGTTCCCATCCGGACTGTACTGGTCTTTGGTTTGGCTGAGAGCCTGAGGCAGGGAGACGTCACTCCCCACTGAAGAGTTCCTTTCCAGGGATATTGTATCATCAGCTGAGGAACTTGAACTCGTGCTGTCTCCAGCTGACTGCTCCTCTTCAGGCTGCTGCGCAGAAACCAAACCACCGTCAATTAGATTCATTTAAAATATGCGTGAGAAGCTTTTTCAAGAATTCAGAGCATTATACAATTTTTCAGCATGTCATAATAAAAAGGTAAAGGTTTTCCTCTAACATTAAGTCCAGTCTGGGGGTTGGTGCTCATCTCCATTTCTAAGCCGGCGTTCTCCATAAACACTTCCAAGGTCATGTGGCCAGCATAACTGCATGGAGCACGATTACCTTCCCGCCTAAACGGTACCTATTGATCTACTCACATTTGTATGTGAGTAGAATTTAACTGCTAGGTTGGCAGAAGCTGGGGCTAACAGCAGGAGCTCATCCCACTCCCCGAATTTAAACCTGCTATCTCTTGGTAAGCAAGTGCAGCAGCTCAATGGTTTAACCCACTGCACCACCTGGGGCTCCAATGTCATAATAGGATGTAAATATGTTTTTTTCCCACAATCACTAAATGCATGAGTCTCCACAAAAGCTGAAAGATGTGTTAGTACAAAATCAGCCATTTTCTGAGTGCTGCATAAATAAAATAAAGTGGGTGGGGGGAAAACTGAAAGAGGGAAAGGAAATTGGAATTAATCCAGATTGATAGGAATGGGGAGGGTTAGGAAATTAGGAAGAGAAGCAAAGAGAATAGTCATCTTTGATTAGGAAAGTTGGGACAGAGGTGCCCAATATAAATGAGGAGTTGAGAACACACTCATCTAACTGTAATTGTGAGTTCTGTAGGGTTCACCAGAGATAATAAAAGACATACATTAGTGCTTAGATCATGGAACTATGGACTGGATCAACAATCACATAAGTAAAGGTTTCCCCTTGACATTAAGTCTAGTCGTGTCCGACTCTTGGGGTTGGTGTTCATCTCCATTTCTAAGACAAACAGCCAGAGTTGTCCATAGACACCTCCAAGGTCATGTGGCCAGCATGACTGCATGGAGCACCGCTATTTTCCTACCAGAGCAGTACCTATTGATCTATTCACATTTGCATGTTTTCAAACTGCTAGGCTGGCGGAAACTGGGGCTAACAGCAGGAGCTCACCCCGCTCTCCGGATTCAAACCACGGACCTTTCGGTCAGCAAGTTCAGCAGCTCAGCGATTTAAACCACTGTGCCATCGGGGACTTGCAACATTCACATAATTTATGTAAAGCCGTTAAAAAGTCTAGTGATAAAAACCAGGTCTTTCTAATGTTCATGACTCCTACAACCAGGGCATAAAGGAGTGCTAAATGCAATTGGGAAATACTGTAGGAGCCCCGAGTGCCCATTGGGGGAGATGGTGGCAGGGTATAAATAAAGGTTATTATTGTTGTTGTTGTTGCTGCTGCTGCTATTGTTGTTGGACCCAAAGCACTTAACATTTCTCCACACACTATTCCTCTTTGACGTGAACGGAACTGCAAGCACTTGGCCCTGATGATATTTCATCAATTGAAGGCTACAAAGATTGCAAGGATGGAATATGTATTTTTGTACCTGTATTCTTTCTTCATCTATTGCAGAAAAGTTGTCAATTTGCACAAAAGCGCATTTATTATGTCATTTATTTTCCTATAGTATGAGGGTTGAATGAAAAGTAATGCCTCCACCTTCATAACTCCTCAACAGATGGCAGTACTGGTATGTGGCAGGTACTGGCTCGTTCAGTAGACCCTCCTCTACAGTTCTATTTTGGTGAGAAGCCTTAGCATTGAACGGTTCTGTTGTTAAGGTGCAAAGTATGGAACCCTGCGCAGATGGTTGGTCAATGCGACTTAAGTAACGTGCAGTCATTGAATTCTTGACAGCAGAAGGTGTCACCTCAACATCTTTAAACTTACTCGCCCAACGATGCACAGTACTCACATCAACACAATCATCATAAACAGCTTGCATTCTCTGATSAATCTCCTTTGGGGTGACACCTTCTGCTGTCAAGAATTTAATGACTGCACATTGCTTAAGTCGCATTGACCGACCATCTGCGCAGGGTTCCATACTTTGCACTTTAACAACACAACCATTCAATGCTAAAATGGAACTGTAGAGGAGAGTCGACTGAACAAGCCAGTACCTGCCGCATACCAGTACTGCCATCTGTTGAGGAGTTACGCAGGTGGAGGCATTGCTTTTCATTCGACCCTRGTACAAAATGTGTCCAGCTGCACATTATGATAGTGCATGATGTCACAKCTCTCTCTTAAAGAATTTCCATTCTCAAGGTGTTGTCAAAGGCTTTCATGGCCCGGAATCACTGAGTTTTCCAGACATTCTGGCCATGTCCATGGAAAGCATCTGCAGAGGTTGAGGGGTCTGTTGGAAACTAGGCAAGTGAGGTTTATATATCTGTGGAATGTCCAGGGTGGAAGAAAGAACTCTTGTCTGCTTGAGGCAAGTGTGAATGTTGCAATTGGTCACCTTTCAACAGAAAGAGGAAACCATGAAAATGAACAAAATCAGGCCCCCAATATTTAAAAAAACTTCTAAAATCAGGACAGTAAATAAAGAGCAACACTCAAAAAACAGGTGAATTCCAGACAAGAATCAATGAGAATCAACTAACACCTTCCAACAAAGGATTCCCCAGCAACCAGCCAGGCTTTGAAGCTGCAAGGCCATTCAATGCTAATCAAGATGGGCAATTGCAACATTCACACTTGCTTGAAGCAGAAAAGAGCTATTTCTCCCAATCTGGACATTCCATAGATATATAAACCCCACTTGCCTAGCTTCCAACAGACTTCACAACCTCTGAGGATGTCTGCCTAGATGTGGGTAAAACGTCAGGAGAGAATGCTTCTGGAAAATGGCCATACAGCTCGGAAAACTTACAGAAACCTATTTTCATTCTCAATTTAGAGACTCATTTTTCACATTATGTAGTTTATGCACAATATAAACATAATTTAGGGGAGAAAATGAGGAAGTAGCCAGAAGGGATGACCTTAACAGGGTCAGCTACTCTGGAGGGGATGTGCAAAGTCCCCGTCGACCATTCACAATAGTCTGTAAGATAGTTCTTCTCACATCCTCCTTAAGAAGTCTAACTTTGCACAATTAATTTGACTGAAATCCCCTTAAATGTATTCTGTGTGAAAACCGAACACGCATACTGCATGCAGCACAAGATCGCAATCTCATGGCAAGATGAGTGACGAGCCATACGTTATATCACGGCATAGCTCTGGACACGGGGATTTTCCATTATAACACAAGGAGAGGAAGCTTAACCCATCATACTGGTGTTGAGAATGATCAGAGTGTTGAACTAAATCTACAAAAATATAGGTTCAACTCTATTGGCCCTTTGCAATTTCATCGACTTCTACTCTCATAAGGGTTTATGAATCTGATGAAGTAGAGTAGAATCCACCAAAGTTGGAGGAAACCAGAATCCCAGGTTCTGTCAAATGCAGATGTCACACAGGGCCACTCTTTAACACAGCTAGTTAATCACCAGATCTCCCAAAAGGTTGGGATTTTGAGCCTGGGTCGGGGTGAGCACCTGATCTTCAGCCCAGCTTACTGTCCACCTAAGCAGTTCGAAAACAGCTGTGAGCTGTGAGTAGAAAAATTAGGCACCGCTTAAGCGGGGAGGTATTTCATGGCACCAAGAAAGGAGGAAGTCTGTGATCAAGGGCTCTTCATCATGGAGGATGGAGCAACAGCACCCTTCTGTGGTCGGAATTGAGCACAACCTCCAGGATGCCGGAGTTGAGAAAAATGCTGACATAATACCTCTAACTGTTTTCTGTTCTGTCTGTTTAGCGCCATTGGATATTTGCCGTGTATGTGTTCTGTGATCTGCCCTTCCCTTTTGGGGTGAGAAGGGTGGAATATAAATGATATAAATACATTAAAAATGTAAATACATAAATAAATTTATTTATGTAAATATATAAATACATAAACTGTCTCCTCCTTTTGACCAGCTCTTTTGGAAGAAATGTGATGTCTGAGAATATCCTACAATGTCCCAAAAACACACAAAATTGAGAAATATCTAGCAAGATAAGAAATAAGACAATGGCACTCTGCAAATACTTTAGAGAATAATTTCTCATACGATTCCAATAAATATTCAAATTATAAACATCTTCCTCTTCAATGTGTTGTCGAATGCTTTCATGACCGGAATCACTGGGTTGCTGTGAGTTTTCTGGGCTGTATGGCTATATTCCAGAAGCATTCTCTCCTGATGTTCTGCCCACATCTATGGCAGGCATCCCCAGAGGTTGGAAACTAGGGAAGTGAGGTTTATATATATATATATGTGGAATAATGTCCCAGGTGGGAGAATGAACTCTTGTCTGTTGGAGGCTGGTGGGAATTTTGTAATTAATCACCTTGATTGAAAAGCCTTGAATCAGCCAGGCTTTGAAACTGCAAGGCCATTTGATGCTAATCAATCTGGCCAATTGCAACGTCCCCACCTGCCTTCAACAGAAAAGAGTTCTTTCTTCCACCCTGGATTTTCCAAAGAAATATAAACCCCACTTGCCTAGTTTGCCTATGGATACCTGCCATAGATGTGGGCAAAAACGTCAGGAGAGAATGCTACTGGAACATGGTCAGACAGCCTGGAAAACTCACCACAACCCATCTTCTTAGCTCTGCAGGTATAAATGAAAGCCTTTCTTGCAGAAAAAGACAAAATGGAAACATTGCTGCATCCAAAACCCCAGGATGGAACTGTATTAGAGGCTATTTATTGGGGTTTGTGTGCAGTTTTCTTTGAGGAAACCAAAAAGAACTGTACAGATGAAAACAGCTTTTCATCTCCATGCCTCACCCTTTCCTTCACCACTCCCTGGATTGTGCACAAGGCTGAAGGGGTTGGAAAAAAATGTCCCACTTCCCCATCCAGAAAAATTATTATCTTGGCCGAAAGCCCTATGGTTCAGAATGGATTTTGAAATGCTGTCCAATATGGACTCCCTAATTCACAGGAATCAGAGTTGGACACAACTTAGTTCCTAACTTGCACAAGGATTCTAAAAACCAGCCTTTAAACATGACAGCCGCTCCGTATGGCCAGGAAGAGTGGAGAGGGTGGGAATCTGGAACCCAAACGATGGCAGGAAATGACATTAGGCAGCCTGATTCACTCCGGCGGGGAACGCTCCAAAGTCATCTCACTGCATTGACTGTTCGTTTGAAGGCCAAGGGTATAAACAATGGGAGTCATCCCAAGGCGTTGCGCTGGCTTTGATTGCAGTGGAAACACGTCACCAGACCTTCTGAAGCCACACAATCCAGTCCATTAGGATAGGATTAACCATTTCACAAATGAATGCCTTCATCCTTGCAATCTGGCTGCCTTGAGAGGCAGGCTAACAGACCCCGGGCTTCTATTTAATTGCATTTACATGAAATCTCAGAGGAAGAGTGTTCTTGCCATATATCAAGAGGACCACTGACCGCATAGGGAAGCTGATGAAGAAACACAACATACAAACAATGTACAGACCCACTAAGGAAATCCAACAAATGCTTTGTTCAGTAAAGGACAAGAGGAATCCTATAACCTCTGCAGAAGTCTACCGTATACCATGCAGTTGTGGACAAGTCTCCATAGGGACCACCAAATGCAAACACAAATCAAGGAACATGAAAGGCACTGCAGACTAATTCAACCTGAGAAGTCCACCATAGCAGAGCACCTGATGAACCAACCTAAACATAGCATAGCATTTGAGAACACGGAAATGCTGAACCACTCCAATAAGTACCATGTCCAACTACACAGCGAAGCTACGGAAAAATCACGAGCATGTGGACAATTGCAACAGAAAGGAGGAAACCATGAAAATGAACAAAATCTGGCTACCAGTATTTTGAAAAACTCAAAAATTAGGGCAATAAATAAAGAGCAACACTCAGAAAACAGGGGAAATCCAGACAGGAAATAATCAGGGTCAGCTAACACCTCCCAACAAAGCATTCCCCCAGGCAGGAAGCAGCCAGGCTTTGAAGCTGCAAGGCCATTAAATGCTAATCAAGCTGGCTAATTGCAACATTCATATCTGCCTCAAGCAGATAAGAGTTCTTTCCCCCACGCTGGACATTATTCCACAGATATATAAACCCCACTTGCCTAGTATCCAACAGATCTCACAACCTCTGAGGATGCCTGCCATGGATGTGGGTGAAACGTCAGGAGAAAATGCTTCTGGAACATGGCCATCCAACCCAGAAAAGTCACAGCAACTCAGTAATTACCAACCTTTTGAAAGGGTTATAACACGGGTATTAAACATGCTCCTGTGGGCGAGCAATCACAAATTCCATCTCTCCTATATCTACTCAAAAAGAAGGAATTCCAGACAAGAATCAATCAGGGCCAGCTAGGACTTACCAACAAAGGATTCCCCCAGGCAGCAACCAGCCAGGTATTGAAACTCCAGGCCATTAAATGTTAATCAAGGTGGCAAATTGCAACATTCTCATGTACCTCATGTTCCACATGTTCTTTCTCCCACCCTGGACATTCCACAAATATATAAATATCACTTACTTAAGTTTCCAACAGACCCCTCAACCTCTGAGGATACCTGCCATAGATGCAGGCGAAATGTCAGAAGAGAATGCTTCTGGAACATAGCCATGCAGCCCGGAAAACTCACAGCAACCCAATTCTCAGCTGTGTTATTAAACCAAAACCAAGAGTTTAGGAAGGAGGGAGTTGTTCCGGATTAATAATTGTGCAACAAAAGCTTTGGTTCCTTTTTTTCTAAAAGACCCTCCCAGGAAATTCTGACGACGATATTTTGTGTGTGTGCAAAACCATTCTGATTGTCCTGCCCTGCAGTTCTGTCCTGCAGTGGAGTTGAATATCTGAGAAGAAAGAGCTTGTGGTGTGCACAGGATGAATGTGTGAACGATTCAGGCTTACCTTCCCAAAGTCCACTTCATCCATCCCATCTTCTCCTGGCAATGGAAAGAGATCCGTCACACTCCCAGATCCCGTTTTAAGGATGCCTTGCGAGGAGGTGTCATTACCAGTTAATCGATCTAGAAAATTATAACTTCCTGTGAAAGAAGAAAAATGGATTTAACACTCTCATATGGCTTCAAAAATTGCTTATTATACTAATATGAATGGGTTTTTACAGCTACAGAAGCAATCACAATAGCTCAGCAGCATTTTGTTGTATTAGCCCCTCCATCTTTATGGTATATTTCTACAGAATTTTTTTGTGTTTAAAGAACTACACATATATTGACCCACTAACTTTTTAGACAGACAGAAATGCTAGACTATAGGTTTGTGTACGCGCAGCGTTCTGGAGATTCATAATGGGGATTTGTCCCTAGAGATAGAGTTGCCCAATCCTACAGCAAAATACACGTATTGTATTATGGATAAAAATCGTTATCTATCTATATAAATAAAAATATAATGTTTGTTTGTAGGATTAACATAACTTAAAAACCACTGGACGAACTGACACCAAATTTGGACACAAGACACCTAACAACCCAATGTATATCCTTCACTCAAAAAAATTGATTTTGTCATTTGGGAGTTGTAGTTTATGGGATTTATAGTTTACCTACAATCAACGATGGAATTGAACCAAACTTGGCACACAGTTCTCCCATGACCAACAGAAAATACTGGAAGGGTTTGGTGGGCAGTGTCCTTTGGTTTTGGAGTTGTAGTTCACCTCCAGAGATCACTGTGGACTCAAACAATGATGTATCTGGACCAAACACTACACGTATACTCAATATGCCCAAATGTGAACACTGGTGGAGTTTGGGGAAAATAGAATCTTGACATTTGGGAGTTGTAGTTGCTGGAATTTATAGTTCACCTACAATCACAGAGCATTCTGAACCCCACCAACGATAGAATTGGGCCAAACCCCCACACAGAACCCCCATGTGGTCCACAGCAATACGTGGCAGGGGACGGTTAGTATCCATATAAATAAAAATGTAATGTTCGTTTGTGGGATTAACAGAACTCAAAAACCACTGGGGTAATTGACATTAAATTTGGACACAAGACACCTATCAGGCCAACAAGTGACCGTCACTCATAAAAATACTGAAAAACACAGTGGAAGGGACTTAAAAAGCCAAAAAACAAAAACTACATTACAACACATGCACAAAACCACATATATACACAAACACACATATATACACAAACACACATATAAACACACACATATACACATAACACATATGTGTATAACACACATATACACATAACGTAAACATACAAAGCACATATACACAGACGGCCACAGCAACGTGTGGCAGGGGACGGCTAGTACCTAATAAAAGTGAAAATATGTATGTATGTATGTATGTATGTATGTATGTATGTATGTATGCATGCATGCATTATGTGGCTGGGGTGCTGTTACACCCAAACTCCCAGGAATGTCAGTTGTTTATGCTCCAGTTAATGAGAGGTAAAAAAACCCAAAGGTTTTCCCCTGACATTGTCCAGTCGTGTCCAACTCAGGGGATTGGTACTCATCTACATTTCTAAGCCGAAGAGCCAGCATTATTCATAGACACCTCCAAGGTCATGTGGCCAGCATGACTGCAGGGAGCACCGATACCTTCTTTCCAGAGCAGTACCTATTGATCTACTCACATTTGCATGTTTTCAAACCGCTAGGTTGGCAGAAGCTGGGACTAACAATGGGAGATCACCCCATCTCACAGATTCAAACCACCAACCTTATGGTCAGCTTAGTGGCTTAACCTGCTGCGCCACCGCAGCCCCTTAAATAGGTTAAATACAATAAATAAATAAAATTTCCTGACTACGAATTGTCAACCAATAGTACCCACCAACCCACCATCACTGTCAATACGCCAAATCAGTAAAAGTATTAGCAGAGACACTCTGCTTGAGAAAAGTGAAAGCAAGGGCTGGGAATAGTGGCATACCAGAGAGGAGCTGCCACGCCACAGAGCAGGTGTGGTTCCCTTCCCTGCACCTTCTCTGCTTTCTAACCAACCTGGCAAGCTCAAATTTCTTTTCTGTAAGTGGGAAAGGGGAAAAACGAGGGAAGGGATGGGGGTGGGCGGAAAGCAAAGCCCTGACAGTCTGCAAGGCAGCGTTTCCCACGAATCCAGCTGGCAGCTCAACAGAGCATATCCCACCGCATTCCAGACTGAGAAACCCGCCAGCTCTGCAAAAAACCTTCGGGTGGAAAATTGAAAAGGAAGTTCCAGATTGGCCACCGGGCAGACACCTTGTCCAAAGACGTTAATCAAACTTCGGCTGAAAGGTATAATCGGCAGCAGGGTCAGCAAAGGGGCACGGAGGGTATATGCACCCAAAAGAGAGAGCCCCCTCTATTCTCTAAGTTCCTTTTGTTGTTCATTTGTTAAGTCGTTTCCGACTCTTCGTGACCTCATGGACCAGCCCATACCAGAGCTCCCTGTCGGCCATCACCACCCCCAACTCCTTCAAGGTCAATCCAGTCACTTTAAGGATGCCATCCATCCATCTTGCCTTTGGTCGGCCCCTCTTCCTTTTTCCTTCCTTTTCCCCCAGGATCATTGTCTTCTCTAAGCTTTCCTGTCTTCTCATGATGTGGCCAAAATACTTTATCTTTGTCTCTAGTATCCTTCCCTCAACGAAGATCCGCATAGTTAAAGCAATGGTGTTCCCCATAGTCACCTACGGATGCAAGATCAGTTGGGCTTTATTTCCTGAAGTATGGACTGGTTGGATCTTCTGGCGGTCCAAGGCACTCCCAGAACTTCCCTCCAGCACCACAGTTCAAAAGCATCTCTCTTCCTTCGCTCAGCCTTCCTTATGGTCCAGCTCTTGCATCCGTAGGGGACTATGGGGAACACCATTGCTTTAACTATGCGGATCTTCGTTGCCAGTGTCATGTCTTTACTCCTCACTATTTTATCAAGATTGGTCATTGCTCTCCTCCCAAGAAGGAAGCATCTCCCGATTTCCTGGCTGCAGTCTGTGTCTGCAGTAATCTTTGCACCTAGAAATACAAAGTCTGTCACTGCCTCCACGTTTTCTCCTGCTATTTCCCAGTTGTCAGTCATTCTTGTTGCCATAATCTTTTTTTTATGTTTAGCTGCAACCCAGCTTTTGCACTTTCTTCTTTCACCTTGATTAGAAGGCGCTCTAAAAATCAGTTTATGAATCTGACATGGACTTAAGAGGTCAGTCACTTAGAACACAGACATACAAAGATGCATTTGACATTTTCATGGTTCCAATGTAATACGAATGCAAGCGTTCCTGGAGTGACCAAGCTACTCTGTACCTTATTCTCAAAACAGGAAAGAGGGGTGGAAACTGTCGTACACAATTGTACACAAATTACATTCCTCCTTACATCTGAACTCCGGGAATTACAGTTTCTTAACATTAGAGGTTGGATGTTTAAGACTTATTTATTTATCATATCAGAAGCGAACTGAGGGTACAGTTGTAATGTAGTTTTTTAAAAAACAGTTTAAAACTTGGCATTACACTAAATGTTCTTTGACCAGTAGCTGGCCACTTGGAGTGCCTCTGGTGTCGCTGTAAGAAGGTCTTCCATTGTGCATGTAGCAGGGCTCAGACTGCATTGTAATAGGTGGTCTGTGATTTGCTCTTCTCCACACTCGCATGTCGTGGATTCCACTTTATGGTCCCATTTCTTAAGGCTAGCTCTGCATCTCGTGGTGCCAGAGTGCAGTCCAAGTCGAGCAGTCTTCTGTGCCTCTAATCCAGTATCAGCCATGGCTTGAGTTCTGGGTTTCAGCCTGCCACTTTGAGACTCTCGCTTGCTGAGGTGTTCCTGCAAGTATCTCTGTAACAATCTTAGAAAACTATTTCTTGATTTAAGGCATTGGAGTGCTGGCTGATATCCAAACAGGGGATGGACTGGAGATGTCACTGCCTTGGTCCTTTCATTGTTGGCTGCTACTTCCCAGTGGATGTCAGGTGGTGCAATACCAGCTAAACAGTATAATTTCTCTAGTGGTGTAGGGTGTAGACATCACGTGATAATGCAGCATGTCTCATTAAGAGCCACATCCACTGTTTTAGCGTGGTGAGATGTATTCCACACTGGGCATGCATACCCAGCAGCAGAGTAGTTGCTAGCACAAGGGCAGATGTCTTCACTGTGTCTGGTTGTGATCCCTAGGTTGCACCAGCCAGCTTTCATATGATATTGTTTCTAGCACTTTTTGCTTGATATTCAGCAGTGCTTCTTGTAAGTCAGAGCTCTGTCCAGGGTAACCCCCAGGTATTTTGGTGTGCTGCTACACTCCAGTGGGATTCCTCAGAGCTCGAGATGCTTGTATGTTCTTAAGATGTAAAGCACACGTTTGTGTTTTAGGTGGATTAAGAATCAGCTGGTTTTCCCTGCAATAGGCAGTAGGAGCACCTAAAGCTTTGGAGAGCTTCTGTTCAACCATTTCAAAGCTCCCTGCTTGGGTGGTGATGGCACGATCGTCAGCATAAATAAAGGTCTCTGTCCCTTCTGGCAGTGGCTGGTCATTTGAATAATTGTCAAACATTAATGGAGCAAGACTTATAGTTAGATGTTTATTGATTGTAATTGTTTAATGTTTAAAATGATCAAGAGTTTGTTAATAATTAATGATAGTTACGCTTTTGGTTATGATTTTTATGGTTTTATTCTTATGCTGTTGTTGCTCCCATAATGACAGTGATGGTGATTACGTTTGTTTCTCATTTTGTTTCCAAGATCACAATTTAAGTATCAAGATCAACCCCACATTAAAGTCTAGCAAACTGGGTTGAAAAGCCATCGTATTTTCAGGTTTGATCTCAGGGTCCCCGGCAGCACAGTGGGTTAAAGCGCTGAGCTGCTGAACTTGCTGATCAAAAGGTCGCAGGCCCGAATCTGGGGAGTGGCATGAGCTCCCGTTGTTAGCCCCAGCTTCTGCCAACCTAGCAGTTCGAAAACATGCAAATGTGAGTAGATCAATAGGTACCGCTCCAGCGGGAAGGTAACAGCACTCCATTTAGTCATGCCAGCCACATGACCTTGGAGGTGTCTATGGACAACGCCGGCTCTTCGGCTTAGAAATGGAGATGAGCACCAACCCCCAGAGTCAGACACGACTGGACTTAATGTCAGGGGAAAACCTTTGTCTTTTTTACCTCTGGAGCAACTGACATTCCTGGGAGTTTGGGTGTAACAGAGCACTATGACACCCCATCATCACCTCTGGGAAGCCCATCGCCTCCAAATTAATAAAAACACGATTTTTCCTTTATGGGATGTTTGCTATACAGGTGGACTCTTAAGTCCATAAAATAACTCTAGATGGTTTCCTCGTGCTTTCTAAAAAGTCCACCCAGAAGATAAATGAATTGTGAAATTCTCTGTATTGAAGAAACAGTTAAAATAATATAATTATCCTGACATGGAAAAATTGTTTTCATCATGTTGGGAACATTTAAACTCCAAAAGCCTCGGAAAGCCTGCTTTCCAATTCTTCAATTTACTTGAACTTGGGTTAACCAAGCAAAATGTACTTTCAATAAAATCCTAAATCACCGACACAGACGGAGAGTTGAGAGGGGAAAGGAAGGGGCCTAAGGCTGTTAGGAATTCTGGAAATTGAAGTCCAAAACACCTGGAGGGCCCAAGTTGGCCCATGCATTTTTCTGAATGAAACAGAGAGTGTTTGAGGACCGGGACATCCGTAGGGATACCAAGGTTTGTTATATTGTCCTCCAAAACCCTGCTATACGCCTGTGAAATTTGACTATTTAGAGACATCACATGCAACTCCTAGAATGATTCCATCAGCGTAGCCACCGAAAAATCCTGCAAATCTCTTGGGAAGACAATGTCAGCGTGCTGGAAGAAGCAAAGACCACCAGTATCGAAGCAATGGTCCTCTGCCATCAACTCCGTTGGACTTGCCACATTGTCCAGATGCCCGACCACCATCTCCCAAAGCAGATGCTCTACTCCGAACTCAGGAACGGGAAAGGAATGTTGGTGAGCAGGAAAAGAGATTTAAAGATGGGCTCAAAGCCAACCTTAAAAACTCTGGCATAGACACTGAGAACTGGGAAGCCCTGGCCCTTGAAGCTGATCTCCACCTCCAGCTGGAGATCAGCTGTGACCACCAGTGCTGTAGAATTTGAAGAGGCACGAATGGAGGGCGAAAGAGGGAAACGTGCCAAGAGGAAGGCGCATCAAGCCAACCCCGACTGAGATCGCCTTCCACCTGGAAACCTCAATGCCCTCACTGTGGGAGAAGATGCAGGTCAAGAATAGGGCTCCACAGCCACCTACAGACCCACCGCCAGGACACCCATCTTGGAAGACAATCCTACTCGGACAACGAGGGATCGCCTAAGTAAGTACTAAGTTGTACACCTTAATTTCATGCACAATGTTTTAAATCAGGGGTCCTCAAACTTTTTAAACCAGGGGCCAGTTCACTGTCCCTCAGACCGTTGGAGGGCCGGACTATAATTTTTGTTAAAAAAAAATCAATTAAAAATTCCTATGCATATTGCACATATCTTATTTTGCTGTGTGGAAGGGCCCTTAGAGGGGGTACTTTCTAGCCCTCTTTAGCCAGTAATTCCAGGAGCAGAGAATGGGAAATCTTCCTATTTTTAGTCTGAACAAAATCTGGCTACCAGTATTTAAAAAAACTCTAAAATTATAACTGTAAATAAAGAACAACACTCAAACACAGGGGAACTCCAGACAAGAAACAATCAGGGCCAGCTAATCACCTCTCCCTAAAAACTGTCAGGCTATGAAATGGTAATCAAGGTGGTCAATTGAAACATTCATACCTACCTCCAACAGACAAGAGTTCTTTCTCCCACCCTGGATCTTCCACAATTTTCCTAGTTAAAGGTTTTCCTCTGACATGAAGTCCAGTCATGTCTGACTCTGGGGTGTGGTGCTCATCTGCATTTCTAAGTTGAAGAGCCGGCGTTGTCCGTAGACACCTCCAAGGTCATGTGGCCGGCATGACTGCATGGAGAGCCGGAGCAGCTGCCCTTGGCTGGCTCACGCTGCCCATCGGGCCTGACGGATAGCTTGAGCCAGCCAAGGGAGGGGCACTGTGTGGGGTGCTGGTGCTCCTCCTCCGCGGGCCGGATAAGTGCCCTTGGTGGGCCGGAAGTGGCCTAAGGGCCGTAGTTTGAGGACCCCTGTTTTAAATAATGTTGGGCATGAAACAAAGTTTGTGTGCACTGAACATTAGAAAACAAAGTCATCCTTGTGGTGAATGTTGGAATTGGGAACATTCCAGATTTTGGATCTGCAGATGAGGGAAACCCAAACTGTAAGATTTCAAGGTTTCCTGGTAGAGTAGCAGCAGCACCCAAATTTTCTGGTAAGCAAAGGGTTGGGTATATTACACTACCACAGAAATTTTATTAGGAAAAGCATGATCACGAGCTTATAGAGGAACGTGGATACTATAGCTATTTCTTTCTCCTCGTCTGAATCTCAGCTCAACCTGGTATTTCAAAAACTTTACTCTCTATTCCTGTGAATATTAACCATGTTGTGGACATGCTACTTCACTTGAAGGAACACAAGAGTGTCCATCTGTCTGTTGAAATGCAGATCTGAAACAGGATTGTGAAGAGCAAAGGAATTGGACCCAATAAAGAAGGCTGCCCTGGGGGAACCCAACAAAGGACTCCCCCAGGCAGCAACCAGCCAGGCTTTGAAGCTGCAAGGCCATTCAATGCTAATCAAGCTGGTCAATTGCAACATTCTCACCTGCCTCCAACAGACAAAGAGTTTCTCCCACCCTGGATATTATTCCACAGATATATAAACCTCACTTGCCTAGTTTCCAACAGACCTCACAACCTCTGAGGATCCTGCCATAGATGTGGGAGAAATGTCAGGAGGGAATGCTTCTGGAACGTGGCCATACAGCCCAGAAAACTCACAGCAACCCCAAAATGCCCCTGTTCTGGCTTACATACAAATTCAAGAACAAACCTACAGAATATATTTTGTTTGTAACTTGAGGACTACCTGTATACGACATTGAGGAGGCACAGATATTGATCAATGGTGAAGTGATAAGAACGTGTGATATATAATGGGCTAAAAGCCTTTTTATTTCGACTTTGGAGGTTGTTTTTTCCTATGTTTCTATGATAAGGAAAAGTCTAAAATTCCAGCTTCTTTTTGCCACAATGAGTTCCCAAACCTACACTTCCAAAAGAAGCAATGCCTTTCCTGAGAGGCTCAAACATGTGTTGCATTATAAGTTTTAAGCTGTACCCTTTAAAAAAAAATCATGTAGTCTTTTGGTCTCACAAGATCTCCAAAAGGTGGTTCTCATGGCAAATATCAGATCTGTATACCATTTCAGGAACCCAACCTATGGCTATCAAAATGCAGGTTGCTGTATCTAGGGTACCTCTATCTAGGAAAAGTTGCAACCTGGAAGCGCAATCTGGAAGGTAACCAGCCTGGCAAAGAACTCCAAAGAAAAGAACTATTCTGTGTATCCTTGTACCCAGATGATTAACACCCTAACAGCACAGCATCCCTTTCCTTTCCTGTCTGTAAACATCATCTTACCTGAAGAATGACAAGAGTGCTTTGTTTCCAAAAGTGAGGCATCTGAAGAAGATTCAGCAGGACACCAGCTTTCACGGTTAATCTAAGAAAAAAAAAGCAGAGGAGTAGCAAATTAACATAACATTTGCATGTGGTGTTTGTACCCAACAGCTCCTATTATTATTATTATTATTATTATTATTATTATTATTATTATTGACACAAATTATTATTTTACTGACACAAAAACACAATATGTCACAGCAAATGAGATCTATGTGCTGGATTTCGTATCACAAAATCACAAGTCGAACACTTCCCAAGTGTCTAGGACTGTGTGATGTATTTTTGAATGATGCACGCAGATCCAAATAAGGTTGCCTTTTGCAGTTGACAGATTGTGATTTTGTCAATGTTTATTGTTTCCAAATGCCGGCTGAGATCTTTTGGCATGGCACCCAGTATGCCAATGAGCACTGGGACCACGTGTACTGGTTTATGCCAGAGCCTTTGCAGTTCAATTTTGAGGTCTTGATAAAGGCTGAGTTTTTCCTGTTCTTTTTCCTCAATTCGACTGTCGCCTGGAATGGTGACATCAATAATCCAGACTTTTTTCTTTTCCACAATCATGATGTCTGGTGTATTGTGTTCCTAAACTTTGTCAGTCTACTATTATATGTTGTTGTTATTATTATTATTATTATTATTATTATTATTGCCGTGTCAGGAGTGACTTGAGAAACGACAACGACATATTTGGTTTATACTTTCATGGACTACAGCCAAAAACCTCTTCTGGTTTCATCTGACAAAGTGCCTAATAAAACCTCACAACCTCTGAGGATGCCTGCCATAGATGCAGGTGAAAAGTCAGGAGAGAATGCTTCTGGAACATGGCGAGAAAAGTCAGGAGAGAATGCTTCTGGAACATGCTTCAGGAACCCACTGCCTAATAAAACTTTGCTAATTTTGGAGATGTTGTAAGACTCACTGTCAAAAATATTCAAATAAGCAAGGGTTTAATGTCCTCTAAAACAGGGCCCAAATGCTGCCTTCTCAAGTTCCACCAAGCCTTATTTTGAAAAACTTCATACCCAACATTCAATGGAGGGTTGTTGTAGGTTTTTCGGGCTATATGGCCATGTTCTAGAAGCATTCTCTCCTGATGTTTCGCCTGCATCTATGGCAGTTTCCTAGTTCTCCTAGTTTCCAACAAACCTCACAACCTCTGAGGATGCCTGCCACAGATGCAGGTGAAATGTCAGGAGAGAATGCTTCTAGAACATGGCCATACAGCCTGAAAAACCTACAACAACCCAGTGATTCCTGTCGTGAAAGCCTTCGACAATACATTCAATGAAGGATTTATGAAAGGCCTTCATACAATGTAGTTTACAAACAGCAAAGCATGCCATTTGTGTGAAGCTCCATTTTCCAGATCTATCAAGATCAGCATTTGTCAACCTGGGGGTCGGGACCCCTGCGGGGGTCGAGAGGGGTTGTCAGAGGGGTCAACAAAGACCATCAGGGAAAACACAGTTTTCCCTATAGGTCATGGGGATTCTGTGAGAGAAGTTTGGTCTTTGATGGCATGTCAGTGGTTCTCTACTTGTGGGTCCCCAGATGTTTTGGCCTTCAACTCCCAGAAATCCTAACAGCTGGTAAACTGGCTGGGATTTCTGGGAGTTGTAGGCCAAAACATCTAGGGTCCCACAGGTTGACAACCACTGTTGCAGGTGAACTATAAATCCCAGCAACTACAACTCCCAAATGTCAAGGCCTATTTCCCCCAAACTCCACCAGTGTCCACATTTGGGCATACTGAGTATTCGTGCTAAGTTTAGTCCAGATCCATCAGTGTTTGAGTCCACAGTGCTCTCTGGATCTAGGTGAACTACAACTCTAAAACTCAAGGTCAATGCCCACCAAACCCTTCCAGTATTTTCTGTTGATCATGGGAGTTCTGTGTGCCAAGTTTGGTTCAATTCCATTGTTGGTGGAGTTGAGAATTTGTTTATTTATTTATTTATTTCGGGCTTTTATATCCCATCCTATCTCTACTCCACAGGGGGACTCAGGACAGCTAACAAATCGGCACGCCATGGTGCTCACATCAAAAACATAAATATACAACTTAACAGCAATATAATAACAGTATAAAACAGTATGAAACAATATAAAAACAATCAAGTAGTCAGCAGTCACCGGTTTTAATCATCATCCAAGAGCAGTCTATCAGTTCGATATAAGTCGTCACATCAGCAAGTCAGGCTAATCTACAAAGGCCTGATCCCATAGCCAGGATTTTACTTGTTTCTGGAAGGTCAAGAGGGATGCAGCAGATCTAATTTCACTCAGGAGGGAGTTCCAAAGCTGGGGCCACCACAGAAAAGGCCCTGTCCCTTGTCCCCGCCAGACGCGATTGTGACAATGGGGGGACAATGAGCAGTGTCTCCCCAGATGATCTTAGGAATGCTCAAGAATGTTCACCTACAATCAAAGAATGCTCCCTGAACTATAAATCCCAGCAACTACAACTCCTAAATGACAAAATCAACCCACCCACCACCACCCCGCAAACCCACCAGTATTCAAATTTGGGCGTATTGGGTATTTGTGTCAAATTTGATTCAGTGAATGAAAATGCATCCTGCATCTCAGATATTTACATTACGATTCGTAACAGTGGCAAAATTACAGTTATGAAGTAGCAACGAAAATAATTTTATGGTTGAAGGTCACCACAACAGGAGGAACTGTATTAAGAGGTTGTGGCATTAGGAAGGTTGAGAAGCACTGATCAAGATACTTTAAGACTAAAACCTGTCAACAAACCACGGAACCTGGTGGCCAGTTTTTACCACTCACCTGTTCACCCAAGATGATCACAGGCATTCTGATCCTGGCCCACCTCCCTGGGCTTAAGTGCCATGTGAACAGATAACCCCCCTGAGCTATAAAAACAAACTTAGCTCACCAAGGGGGATACACGTGGATTATTTTAAGCTTTCCATTTCCTTATTATACCCTCGGGTCTACATTTCCTTTAATCAAGTTTCAATTTAGCTTTCAGAATGAGAGCAACACACTTTTTCCTGTTTGTTACATGATAGCATACATTTCAAAGCCAAGACACAATGTTTATGAGTGAAGACTTCCAGATTTTGCTATTGCCTTTGCACTGTGTTTTAGTTTGTAAGCTTTGCTTACAAATACTGAAGCCTCCCCATGAGATCAATCTTCCCACAATAAAAGCCCGGCCCCCAAACCCCTCAATAATCAGGGACACGGATTAAGCAAAACCTGGCAAATCTTTGTCAAGTGATTCCTTTCCATTAGAGCAGTGTTTCTCAACCTGGGGGTTGGGAGGGGAATTTCAGAGGGGTCACCAAAGACCATCAGAAAACACATATTTCTGATGGTCTTAGGAACACTTTTGGCAGAGAACACTGAAGATCTCTCCACCTGCCCTTCTATTCCCTTTTGGTGTTGGTCAACTACAACTCCCAGAATTCAAAAACAAACCCCTCCCCCACAACCCCACTAGTATTCAATGTTGGCCATGTAGGTAGCGTGCCAAGTTTGGTGCAGATCCATTATTGGCTAGGTTCAGAGTGCTCTTTGATTGTAGCTTAACTATAAATCCCAGCAACTACAACCCCCAAATGTCACAGTCTATTATTCCCAAACTCCTCCAGTGCTCACAGTATTTTCCACTGGTTATGGAGGTCTTGTGTGGGAAGTTTGGCCCAATTCTATCATTGGTGGGGTTCAGAATGCTCTTTGATTGTAGGTGAACTATAAATCCCAGCAACTACAACCCCCAAATGTCACAATCTATTATCCCCAAACTCCTCCAGTGTTCACATTCGGGCATACTGAGTATTTGTACCAAGTCTGGTCCAGACCTATTATTGTTTGAGTCCACAGTGCCCTCTGAATGTAGGTAAATTACAACTCCAAAACTCAAGGTCAGTGCCCACCAAACCCTTCCAGTATTTTCTGTTGGTCATGGGAGTTCTGTATGCCAAGTTTGGTTCAGTTCCATCGTTGGTGGAGTTCAGAATGCTCTTTGATTGTATGTGAACTACAAATCCCAGCAACTACAACTTCCAAATGATAACATCAACCCCCCCCCCCAACCCCACCAGTATTCAAATTTGGGCGTATCTGATATTTGTGCCAAGTCTGGTCCACTGAATGATAATACATACTGCATATCAGATATTTACATTATGATACATAACAACAACAAAATGACAGTTATGAAGTAGCAACGCAAATAATGTTATGGGTGGGGGTCACCACAGCAGGAGGAACTGAATTAAGGGGTTGTAGCATTTGGGAGGTTGAGACACACTGCATTAGAGGTTCCTCCTACCCAAGTTAAAACGGAGGAGCAGCCAGAATCCATTAGTTACCCATCAAGTTGGCTGCATTCTTCCAGTCGCCTTCTCTGCCAGGAAAATAAAGTTCTTAAACAGTGACAAACATTCCCAGACTGCCACCTTGCTGTTTGGTGGAACAGTTACTAATTTTAGATTTGGAGGGTGAGAAAGAAGGCCAAGAACCGTTAGTTAGCCAGGAGAGGTATTTGCAGCTCTCGCCTCCACACCCTATTGAAAAGAAAAGCCATGATGGAAAAAGGACAGACCTACTCAAACAAACTGCTGGTGGGAAGGCTAAACACTTTTCTTTCGGTGCCTTATTTCGGAAAGAACACAGTTTTCATAAAAGTGAATTCAAATCACTCGCATGCCTAAATTAGAACTTTTCCAAAATGAAGTGGAAAGATGTTGCTGGAAGCCCAGGATTTTGAAAGATGCGGCCTTAGTATTGTAAGAGCTGACATGCCCATGTACCTAGCTAGGAGTAGACAGAACTCCAAAGTCATAGACTCACACTGATCTTGGTTAAGGGGACAAAGTATGATGCGGATTTGCAGCAATTTTCCATCCACTGGTTTTGATGGAATGCAATAGAACAGTGTTTCCCAACCTGAGAATCGGGACCCTTGGGGGGGGGGGTTGCGAGGGGGTGTCAGAGGGGTCACCAAAGACCATCAGAAAACACAGTATTTTCTGTTGGTTATGAGGGTTCTGT